TTCACTACAGCACATTGCCCCCTAGAGGTTATGTAATGGAAAAGCAGGAAAGGAAATATTCTGCTCAGATCTCATCGCTGTGACAAAAGCAAAAGAAGACGCAGCAATTAACAGCCTTATATAGAAAAGCTCTAAATCTAAATGTGTATACGACATTTATGAATGCACTGAATGGAATAAGCCAGACCGTTTAGACCTATTCCAATATATTTCTGTTTTAAAATCATGAACTCAACACCTGCAAACTTTGATTCAAAAAATTCATAAGCATGCATCTAAGGTTTGAAACGTTTTAGGATTTCTTTTAGTCAGCATTGGAGGGTTTGCTTTTCATTATCATAAGAAACATAACTGTAAAAAATAAGAAGCTAAAATTTCAAATTTTTGATAAAATCTTTGGAGAAGACCCGAAGCCTCCCGAAGCATACCCAGCTATAATTCAAAAAGGGGAAATGCTGATGATACGAAGAAGGTTTTTCTTGTTTTACTCTTTATTGTTCCCTCTTCCATTTTCCAATGAATTAGAAAATTCATAACTTCAGCAGTAAGCTGATTAAAGTTAGAGAGAGCAGAAAGGTGTGATCTGTATTAAAAACATATTGAAGTTCAATGGTGAAGACATTCTCACATTTCTTCTTACCTTTTCTGGCTTCTGGAGGATGAACTGAAACCCCAACTCTGACAAAGAAAAAAGGGAAGAGGGAAATTAGAATGAAAATGTAAAAAGAAATAGGTTTTGGCCATCATGAGAAGAGAATAATTACATTGGCTCTTTTCATCCAGAGTTGCAGGCAACAGTGTACTCAAGTAAAACTTCAGCATTTGAACAAGACAAAGTTACACTGTCCAGAGAGCCCTAAGAGGGCTATAGGTGAAATCTATAACTTAAATAAATACATACATACATACATACATACAATTGCCACCAAGATCAGAGCCATAATGTAATAAATTAAAAGAGCATCCAAGCATTACCCGATTTCTTTCCTTTCCTTGTCTTCTTCATATCTGCAACCATAGGAGAAAAAATATTGTATTTTCACTCAGACTTCAAGGAGAGAATGCTGCGGCATTTTCCGATGCGCGATTAGCCTGCTGGAAGTAGCGCTTTGAGGACTTCCTTCTGCCCAGACGTGTATCAGCTCGTGCCTTTAGGGCCTTTTATAGGCCCAGTGAAATGGAAAGGTTTCGTCCCCCGCTTAAGAATGAGATAGGACTTTACGACGAAATATGAGAATAATTGACACAGTTCTCAGGATTTGTCTTCCTGAGTAACCGATGCCGTAAACACGGGCAGGGATGCCACAGGTGCGCATCGATAGGGGCAGGAATATCTTTGGAGGCAAAGCATTCGATCTTTTGGCATTCGGATCATGACAACCGCTTCGGTGCCTGAATATAACCCCGAGTGCCAGATTTCGAAGCAACAAAAATATGTCATGCAAATGGACCGATCCATGATTACTTCGCAAATAATAGGATGGGGCGTCTTTTGGGCCCAAGGGGTGGATTCCATTTTGGACCATCTCCTACGGTCGGCGTTTCTGCAGTGATGCGCAGAGACAAAAGAGGATGGGCCTGCAAAAGCGCAACTCTCCCCCACATGCCCTTGCTACCAATTTATAGTAGGAAGCGTGTCTACTCAGAAGTAAGCTTGAACAGGACAATGGCTCAGGATACGCACAAGAACTCCCTCTGTGTTTGTACAGGACTGATGGTAGTGTATTCCAAACTGTTATTATTCCCGAGGAAATATTCAGAAGGGTTTCAACTCATTAATTTCCCCCTCGTTATCCCATTCGTAGCAGCTGCCCCATGACAGCTTTTCTCTTGATGAAGCCACCAGAAAGAGACCCCGCAAGGGGCATCCCTGCATTTCAATTCCGTCTGCCTCCCAAGAGAAGATTCTTACCCGAGCGAAGTCATTATGGCCTCAGTCACCATCACACGCTCTTGGGTGAGAGATTCGGCCTCTTTCACTGCAAGAGAATGAACGACAAAAACTGAGAACGCATAAGCGTAATCCTGAAGAATAATTCCCGTCCTTAGTAACTTCGCTGAAGCTATGGTTAAGGTTGCGGACAGGATGTTTTTAACTTACTAGATACTTCTGCCGTGGTTCAAAGCCAGCAGCACGGAAAAGAATCATGCTCATTTTATGTAACTCAGTTCCCAGCAGCCTATAATTTGCCTTTCTCTGCCCCCTCCCATTCTTAGAATCTGATTACAGACCAGTGCTTTTAGTTATGGATTGGCTTATAATCATTAATTAAAACTTATTTCATCCATTAGTTCTCGATCTATCAGAATAACCCACATTTTAGTTTTAAAGGGGTTAAATGAGTCCAAACCAATGATATTTTGGCTCCTGAAGTTCAGCCTATGGCGGTGAGTGGGGGACCTGTGGATTAACCCGGAGCGGCCAGCGGTTTACCGCATATTTTCTCCTTTTTCCAATGACATACACTGGCGACATTAGCTCTTTGGGGGCGCGCCTTCAAGACATTTACCATCCAGAACTTCGAGGGAAGCGCTGCAGATGGATTGGCCAGCCTGGTTGGAGGCAATGCAGGTATAGTTCCCACTGTATTCCTGGTTCACATCCAGTAGGATCAGACTATGATGCATGTTGGAACTGGCGAGTTTGTACCCTGGTGTGTCTGCCTTGATCCACAGGATGTCTTCTCCACGGGACTCTTCCTTCAGCCAAGTCACTGAGGGTGGCGGACTTCCTGGAAGAGAGGATCGCTGGGTTAGCAACGCAGGCACCAGGCGGCCTCTCCTCGTTCCCCAACCTCTTGCATAGCCTTTGCTTGACACTCAGGCCTTCTTCTGCAGATGCAGCCCCATCCCGGCTCCTGTAACATATTTGTTCGCCTCCGATTCCCGAAAGAGCCGTGCTGGGTGATTGGGGCAGCTTGCCTATGTCCGGCGGTTACTGGGGAAGTGTCCACCCCTGTCCCGCTTGGGGGATCCTGGGAGCTGCTGGTTGGCCACTGTGTGAATGCCATGCCGGACTGAGGTGGACCCTGGCTCTGGCACAGCTGAGCCCTTCCTCTGTGGTCCAAGATTTTCTCCCCACAGTGGCCAACCAGCTGCCTGTGGGAAGCCCATGGATAGGACACGGGTGCAATAGCATCCTCATGTTTGCCTTTCTCCTCGAGTGATGTGCAAAGACACACAGCCTCCAACACTGGAGGAAGCCTGTGGCCATGAGGACTAGTAGCCCTGGGGTGCCTTCTCCTCCATTAATGTGCATTAAGGACATCTCCTTTAACGACCATCACTCCATCTTGGAGAAGTGGATTCTATGGCTTGACTGTGTGCTGCCTGAAGAAGCCCTTTATTTTATTTCCCTCCAATCCACTTCATGGGATGACCCCGTTCGATTCTAGTATCCATTATTACGAAGTCAACCTCTCTCGCTTTGGTACCAAACACTAGACTGTAATCTCCTGAGGGCAAGAACCCGTCTTGACACACTCTGAGAAGCAAACAGAACCAGCACCAGGACCAGGAAAAGGACTAAATCAGTGGCCTTTAGCATCCACCAAGTAGATAAATTCAGTAACAGATAAAGGGAAAAACAACGATCCCGTTAAGCCCCTTTACCTTCAACTTTCACAGAAAGGGTAATGCTGACTCCCTTCCTCACTTTTTTATTGGTAAATCTTTCCAGGAATCTTGGTGGCACCAGTTGCTCATGGAAATCTGAAAATAAAATTATTTAGGGAAAGACATTCAGCTGTGATTTGGCACTGATGAACAGGCAAAAAGATGGCCATAAGCATATTTTCTTGGACGAGGCTTAAGGGGGTTCGCTGGGGTTTCTCTACATGGTGGTTCTTCTTTACTGAGGGTTCTTCCTCCATTTTGTTTGCAGGAGGAAAGTCATGTCCTTCACATGGCGTGGGCGTTAATGGGCTTTTCTTCTCATCCTGCCTACAGGTTGTGTTACTCAACCAAGAGGTGGTGCTGCAGTTAAGCAGAACTGGGAGATTACACAGAACTTCCGTCCTGGTTTGTTCCAAGCTTGAACCTGAATACCTGACTTTTCTTGCAATAAAAATCATGCAAAAAAGGCCATAAACCACAGGGGAGGCCCCTGGAAGATGGCGGTGGCTTGACAAGGCCCCACAAGCCTCCATGAGTCAGGGATCGCAACCAACACCTCATGCAGAGAAGCCCTAGGCCTGCTCTCAAGCGTGTGGCTCAGACAGGACTGCCCCGGAGAACGTGGGAGCTGGCCTGCAGAAAAAGCAACCATTCCCAGTATTATTTCCTTGGCTTCTTTTCTCACCTTTTGCAGGTGGAACGTCTTCCTCGCCAGCCGCTGTAGAACAAGAGAAAGAGAACAGCACCACCGTGAATGGTCAGTCGCCAAGGGCAAACGACAGCAAAGCACAATTCGGTTCCACTCGTATCGCACGCCACCCGTGCCATGTGGGATCACCACAGGGTGCTTTTGTTGAAAGTCAAAATCAGGTAACACATATAATATTTAGTGCAGCTCTAATTAAGATCTGGTAAAGGTCATGGGAGCCAGAGAAGTCATTCTGCTGGTCGGCTATCCCTGAAGTAGGTTGTTTTTAAAGAGAGGGCCACAGATCTGCAGGTGGATTTTTACTGGTTTCAAGACAATGGGAAGATCATTTTGGCATTTGACATCCTGCCCTTGACCAGCAAACCACCTTTGCAATATCACCTCACTAACCTTTGACAAGCAACCTGGCCGATGAATATGCAGAACCAGCAGAGTTGCTAATAAATACAGAATATTGACCAGCATCCTCTTTTGTGACGTTAAGAATTTCAAGAGCATGAAACTCTCTCCTGTCTGTTTTTAAGAGTCGATCCGACGCGTGCAAGGGCTGACCATCTTTAAACCAGTAGAGACGAGGCTCCGGGTAACCTGCACAGAGAGATTTCAGATAGGAATTGCAGAGAGAAATACATTTTTAAAAATATTGATGTGACCGTGAGAAAAGATGGATGCAGCTCTGTCCCTTTTAACTCCATCGATATGCTGCATCCAAGCCATTGCTGCTGTCAACGCACGGTACCATAGGCTGGGTCACATGGTTCTGTCACAGATCAGAGCTTTAGCTGGGCTCAGATTAGGCTGGGTGTCTCAGGGAAGCTAAACAGGCAGAGGTCAGTGCCATGGAAAGTTTGAACACACACACACACACACCCTGTCTGCCTGAAAATCAGACCCTAGCATGATTTTTCAGGATGCTCATAATATAAACCCTACCCCAAAAATAAGCCCTAGTTAAGACTGTCAGCCAGATGGACGCATTTAGTACAACCATTGCAAAACATTTCAGGGTTTGGAGAGTTATGACGATGTTCCAGAAGAAGATGGCATGACTGTATTTGAATACATGTAGATTGTTGTACATGAATAAATGAATACATGTAGATTGTTGTACATAAAAAATAAGACATCACCTGAAAATAAGCCCCAGTGTGTCTTTTGGAGCAAAATTTAATATGAAATCTGGTCTTATTTTCGGGGGAAAAGGTGTGTGTGTGTAGAGAGAGAGTTTTTATAACAGCGATGGACGGTTCTGATTAGTTCGGGGGCTGGGGCCCCAACAGGCTTGTCTGAACACTGCTCTAGCGAGGAGCAGATCAACCCCGCATCTTAGGTAGGAGGTTGCCTGGCTTTGGGCAGGTGGGCTCTGCCTCTGTGCAGACCGAAGTGTCCTCTCTCGAATGGTCCTGGCTCACTTTCGTTCTGAAGATGTGGGTCGTGGCTAGCGAGTGCCTCCTTGGCCTGGACTGACGGTGGCAGTAATCTCTGAACACAGCTGACCCCTGAGATGCCTTTAGAGAACGGGACCCTAGGGAGGTGGACATCTCATGATGACTTTCTTGGACCGATCCTTCTTGCTAAGGTGTTAATTCCGGAGTCTGCTCTGAGGACAGGAGGCCGGGATCCTCTGAGGAGGAGAGTCTGGGACCGGGGTCCATGACTCGAACTCGGCCAGGGCTTCCCACCAACGCATGAGCACCACGACCCACTGAAGAGCAAATATGCCGTTCCATGTTCACCACTGAATTAATACTCCTCGAACGGAAGAGTAGCTACGACACATCGGGAAGAGGATGTGTGAGCAAAGATCCAGCCACGTCCCACACGCCAAAAAGAAAATGCGTAGTTATACAGGGCATGCAGAATTAAAGGCATCTCACCAAAAGGTGATCTACAAAACACTGGACTTTACGATACCTTTAACCTTCAGGTGGAATTTGGCCAAGGGCGCTCCAGGGGCCACGTGGATGTCATGAAGTTCATCCAGGATCTGCGGCAGCTGCTCTTCCTCGTTCATGGACTCTACCCCTTCTTGCTCTCGGCTGATGCAGGAAAGAAAGAAAAGTTATTTTTGGCTTGATGAAGATCCAGCATGCTGAAGCACTAATTGAGTAGAGAAGATGAAAGGGCTTTGCCACATCTTCTGAATGGTGGCCATCCAGCGGAGGAGCCCAGCACCTGAGTGAGTCACCTGTAGCGATGCCACCAAAAGAGTGAGCATTTACCTGGAAAGGTACCCTTTGGCACTGTAGTAGGATGAAGTCTCGGTAGCATCGGCCGCGGTGTCATAATCCGTACTGGTCACTGCAGAAGAGGAAAGAGAAGGCTCCGGATGTGGTGAGTCACTTTATACCAAGTGCAGGTGATTTTGGGGGCGGGAGGAGAGACAGGAGGTGTGGGAGAGTACGATAAACAAGACCCTTCTCCCTCGAAAGTATCATGGGAGAACAAGGACATGGCTTGCCTGCCTCCACTAATTGATTCAGTACAGAGGAAGGCTAGGAGGCCACGTCAAAGCATCACTGGGGATCAGGGGCGCAGCGCTTTTCTGGAGACTCCTCCACTTCCCATGAGTCCCTTCCTAGCTCTGACTGTTCTGGTGCCGCTCATCCCTTGGATCACTTAGCTGCCAGTCCCGGGTCATTCGTCTCACTCGGTTATTTTAGATCATTCACCTGATCTAAAATAAATGATAGGTCAAAGGATCCACGTTGCGATTTCATCAGCGAAACGTTGCTTCCGTTCAGTTATGGCCCAGATTCTGCAGCGCGCTGTGCCAAAGCACCCCTGTGTGCACCCACGGCTTTATGGTCTGGTGGCAGCGCCAAGTCCGCACGCCAGGCCTCCACTCCGGCCGGGGAGACAAAAGGAACCGCGCCTTCGCGCCGCTCATGAACTGTAGAATTGGCTCCGCGCGACATAGCAGTGGATGACCTTAAAGGGGGATGAGGCAGTCCATGGAGAGGGGTGTCCATGGCTGCCAGTCAAGAGGGTGCGAGGCCACTACCAGGACCAGAGGCAGGACGTCCCCGAATGCCGGGTGTTCGAAAAACTCGCAGGACGGAGCTTTCACGTTCCTGTCCTGTCGAGGGCTTCCCGTGGCGTGCGCTTGGCCACGGTGCTCACAGAACGCGGATGAGATCGGGGTGTGGGTGTGATCCACCAACCTCCTGTGATCTAAGTACGGCAAGGCAGAGGAGGAGCAAATGAAGCTTCCAAGGAACCCCCAAAGCCCTAAAGACTTTTGTGCTTATGCCAAACCCTGCGTGTGGCTTGTGTGTTTGGGGGGCAGGGTGGGGGCAGGTGGTCTCACAGCCTCTCCTCTACATTCCTGGTTGCTTCGCGTGATTCAGAAGCTCTTCACTGAAAGGCGATCAAACGTAGGAACTCCCATATATACATAGGCATAAGATCTCGTGTGAGACCATGGCTTCCACTTCTTGTTTTTGTAATTTGTATTTAGGCTGGGAAAATGGGACCTCCACTCCCTGTGGCAGAAATCTTGCAGATGCGATTTCCACACGTGATGACGCACCTGGTGTTAATCCCCCACTTGGTGATGTCTCTCCTTGGGCAGGAATTTTGCAATGAGTGGAGTGTCCGGAACTCACAACAAACCTCGATGGATCTGCCCATAAGGAGCATCTGTCCAGAACCACCGAGTGTTGGTGTTCTGTCCTTCTGAACCACTGAGGCCTGACTGCACTTCCCCCTCCGTTGGCCCCAATTCCTCTGCGCATGCAGAATATGCCACCCTGGTTGCCATGCGTTCCGCCCTCCCACTCCCCTCCCCGCATCGCCGGGGTCTTACGATCCACCCGCAGCTCAGCCTTGGTCGAGGAGACCCCCATGCTGTTCTCTGCCAGGCAGCGGTACACGCCCATGTCAAGAGGGACCACCGCTGTGATGATGAGCTGGTGGCACCCTTCCTGATCTTCGTTGATCATGTAGTGGTCATCTTCTTCAAGGACCCGCCCGTCCTTGAACCACCGGACCGTGGGGGTCGGCTTGCCGATCACGACACAGTCAAAACTAACAGGATACCCGTCCTGCACCTCCTGGTTTTGAAGCTCGGTTATGAAGACAGGAGCTGGAATGGTTTGGATGAAGATGGTCATAATCGCCACAACGACTGCCCATGTGAACGCACATTTACAACCCCTGATTATACTAGTTCCACAGATGGGGATCTAATCTCTCGACTCATGGAGGAAGCACCATCTGACCTACAGGGCACAGGATCAGCACCTGTTGGGAGTGAGACAGGTGGCTCATACCCAAGGGCTACTGGCTGGTCTCCAGAAGAGGAGCTGGAGGAAGAGGAAGAGGTACAGGAGGGGGCCATGGAGTGCGGGCCAATTCCAGACACTGAGATGGGAGAAGCACAGCAGCTTAACTCAAGGCCAGGTGCCCCAGGTGGGCAGGCAGCCTTTGGGAATACCCAAAATGTACAGTTGGCGGGAGGGGACTTGGAGCAGGGGAGTTTCTTGGGCAAGGCGAGCACAATGCTTGACCTCAGGACACATCATGGCAGAGGGGGAGGCGTAATGAGGGGACTGGCATGCAGAGAGGCCGCTTGCTCATTTCCATAAGTCTCCTCCTGAAGGGATGGGCCCCAGGCACGCTCAGAAAGAGAGTCCTGGAGGTGAGTACTAGGTTGGGTTCAGAGAACCGCTCTGTGCATGCTCAGAGATCCTGGGTGTTTGCGCATCTGCAAAATGCTCTAGTCAGTGGAGAACATTTTGCAAGCAGGGCCTATGCCTCTGAATGCGCAAAGGGACCAAACACAGAGCGTGGCCTCACCTTACCCCGAGGTCCCAACGGCACTGCTTTGTCAAAAGCCTTCTGTTCCTTTCTTACCAGTATCGGATGTTAGTAAGGGCGGCGGTGGTCTTTTCACCAGGGTCTGCAGTTGCCCTGGAGAAGGTGGCGCGGCTTTCCCGATGCGCAGCTCGATCTTCCTAGGGCCTTGGTCCAGGATGTCTATGTCTACAGGAATGCCCATGGCGGCAAACATCTCCCTAAACCGACTGGCCGCTGTGGTGGCTTCCAACATCACCTCAAACTTGATGTAGAGGTACTTCTCGTCTTCTCGGTAGGTCTGGTGGTCCACAACCTCGATCTCTCCCTCATCTGCGCTGACAAAGAGTTCCTCATCAACATCTGAGATCTCTGTGGAGATCTTGGACCTGAAGAGCTTGTGAAGCCTTCTCCCCGCTTTACGGAAGGCGTCGTCCAGTTCACTGCCAGAACTCTCCGTCTCGCTCTCAGGCAGCTTCTTGGCAGGCCTGTGTCTACGCACAGGGACCTGAGGCTGCGGACACACCGTCAGCTTCGCACTGTGGGAGACCTGGCCAAATTTATTGGACACCTCACAGGTGTACGTGCCTATGTCATCCGCTTCCAGACCAGTGATGATCAAGGAGCAAGTCCCATCGCTGTAATTGTCTATGTGATGGTGGCGTCCATCTGAAATTTCCCGACCGTCTTTCAGCCAGCGGACCTTCATGTCCGTTTTGCTTTGGGCCACGCACTCAAGGTGGAGGGTGCCGCCTGGCTCACCAGAGAAGTCCTTGAAGGTCTCAGTAAAGACTGGGCATTCTTGCTGCTTGATCTCCTTCCTCACTTTGTACCCTTTGAAGGCCGCCTGGATTTTGACTGCGGCCTGTGCCATGGAGGGATCCTTGAGGTCTCCTTCAAGGGGTTCTGGTTGGGCTGGCCGGGCAGCGGAAGCTGGCTCCGGGCTGGCCTTCTTCCACTGCTTCTCGGTTTTCTCCACAGAGGTGCTCTGAACTTTGCTGGCCTTCTTGAGGTATTTGATCAAGGATGGAGTACCAGCCCTCGACTCATCATCCGAGCTGGTGAAAGAAATATCTGCTTCTCCTGTTCTAGCAGACTCATCACAGGTAGAGTATTCCTCAGAGTAGTATTGGATCACCTCGGCTTCTTCCTTCTTCTGTTTCCGAAGTTTGTCGTCCTCTTCCGGCAATTCACTGATAGAATCCAGGGTTGGCTCACGGCTCATCCTGCGCTTCTTGGCAAGAGCTTCCCACAGGAGATGGAGGTCACCTTCCTGGGCAGCTTCGGGTGGCAGGCTAGGCTGCACCTGCTCCTCCTCTCTCTCGCCCAGCTCCTTAGCCTTTGGTATTTCCTCTGCTGCTTCTTTTAACATGGACACTGGAGAAACTAAGAGAATGAAACAGGAAAGCTCTGTTATCTTGCCAAGGGATGCTCAGAGGCAGGGAGTCCTATGCCTTTGGTAACTACAAAGGGACCAACAGCAACAAGAACAAATGGAAAATTTATTAACGGTCCATTTTAAGCGCTTGGCATGCCCATAACTTTGATTTCGGCAAGAGACTTTCAAGCACTCTGTCCATTCAGTTGCTACCTCTACCAACAGGTGCCATGGAAAATACAGGTGAACTCAGACATGCATGGCTTATACAGATTTTATTCTTTTTATTTATATAAATGTGCTGGCAGGAAGATAAACACTGGTCTCTGATGAAGATCAAGGGGGGGGGGGCAAGTCCATGTTCTGAAGAGGCAGCCAAATACTGGCATGTAGCATCTCTCAGAACACTTTAATGGACTGTGCATGTGTGTTTCCCAGACACATTCCCATGAATCTAAGGGCAACAGCTTGGATTCTCATGAGAGCCAAGGATTCTCCAGGCAGAGAATATACTTCGCAATAGAGAATACACTTCACAATGTATTTGGGCCTTTTGGTTGTGATGGACTAAGAACATGCGAGCTGATATCTGCATGTCATTTGCATGCTTGATACATGCATGGCCCACGTAATCTGCGTTATGCCGTGAACTGATTCCCTAATGAAAACACCAGCCGTATTGCGCGATCGTAATATCTGCAGAGAGTTTGCATGTGAACAGAGAGGTTTCCATGTGCATCATTACTAGGACAGCTCTGGGAATGCGTTTAGGCAGCTGCCCCGATCATGGAACAACAGAAGAATTCCACTTGATTATTTTCGCGCTCCTCACTTGTGCACAACACATCCTGGAGCGTTAAAAGACTTCCCCGTCACACAAATTTTGCAGCATCCCTTGAGAAAATGTGCACTTCGTTCAGGGGTGCCCCCCCCCCAGCTCTCATTTGACCCCCCTTTTCCAATAACACAATCACAATTGGGCGGCTCCTTCGTGGCTGATTTAGGAAGGAGAAGGAAGCAGTTCCTGGGCACCCAACAGGACTGAAAAATACGAAATGCAACTGCATAACCAAATGATTTTTCAGACAAATGTCTGCTGCCCTGTAACTACAGCAGTGACATCAACGGCACTGAAATGCTAACGCACCTTTTGCTGAAAGATTGGCAGAAGTCCTGGCATCTTGGGATGCCATGCAGGTGTACAGTCCTTGATCTTCTGCTTTGAAGCCATGGATGATGAGTGCCTGTTTTTTGCCTTCTGAGATGATTTCATATCTGCCTCCCGGATGGACCGGCTCTTTTCCCTTAAACCAAACCACGTCTTCAGCTTCGCTGGATAATTCACACTCCAACCGTGTCTTCTCCCCTTCCACAGCAGACTTGTCCACCAAAGGCTCCGTGACTGCAATAGAATCTGGAAATGGAGATATCGAGCCCAATGAATGCTTTGCATCTACTTTTATTTATTTATTATATTTATATCCAACCTTTCTTCCTTTGTGAATCTCAAGGTGGCTGCATGCAGTCCGCGGGGTGGAATGTCGCCTCTCCAAGCTCAGGTTGGCCCCAGACCTGCTTAGCTTTACCTGATGTGCCTCCAGACCATAATCCTGACTTTCATTCAGACCATAATTCTGTTTTACACCTCAGTGAGCAAAGCAACAAGGAAGCGAGCCAACCAACAAAAACGATGATGATGATACTTTAGTTCATTTCTATACCCCCTCATAGCCAAAGCTCTCTGGGTGGTTTGCAACAGTGCATAAAACAGTCCAAGAAAATTCAATGAAAACACCATAAAATCTTATCAAAAGATTCTGTCAAAAATTAAAAACAACTGTAAAAGTACCGTGAAGAATGTTAAGTAAAAAGAAGCAGTGGGGATGGGTAATTCTCTCAGGCTCCTGGATAACCAAGTATATCTTTAAAGGCGTCAGCACAAAGGACCATCTTCACCCGGCACCAAAAAGTTGAGGACATTGTGGCACCTTCTCTCACCCCATGTGAAGGCGGCAGGCAGGCCGGAGGAGCACAGGGCCAGTCAAGAGCGCACGGTCACCTCCTCCGATGCCTCGCTGCCACCGGGCAGCATCTCTTGACTGGGGCAAAAGTCTCGCTTTTCCCAGTGGTCAAGGTGGTCTTAGTACTTTGCCTGATCTTTGGCTGTTGGGCGGTGGAGCAACAGCTGAAAACAGGGCAGGAGCTGGCAGCCGGGGCGGGTTGGTAGCAAGCAGACGATATATAGTGGGCAGCGCTGCCGTGCGCTCTGTGGCTTTGTGAGAGAGAAGAACGGGCTTGGCAGTGGACCTCGACCAGCGAGAATATGGCCCCCGAACCCACTACCTGCACCACCCCAAGCCTGCCCGGAAAGACCACCGCTGGGAGCTCAGGGCTCCCATGGAAGAGGCGGCACCATGTGACGCACACGGGCCTCAGCGGTCCATGAACCGACACACAACCAGAGTGGAACAAACAGAAGCCGCAACAGTGTCGTTGCCAGTTTTCTTTGGTCGCGCCATCCTGGCACGTCGTCAGACGAGAGAGCAGGAACAGTGTGAAACGCTTTCTCCAATGTTACTGTTATCCCAGCTGTCTGAAAAGTAGGATCTGCCAAAGTTCCAAATATTTCTTCATGATAGAGATGAACTTAATTGCACACCTTGAAAAGGGCGGCGGCCTCGTACCACAATAAACTTCACTGGTGTGATTGCAAAATGAGGATGTTGAATGTCTTTAGGACTTGAGTTTCAACATGTCTCACGCTAGCCATGATCCCAAACAAGAAAACTACATTCTTCATTACATGCAAGCCATCTGTTTTCACAGCGGTTGGCCACAATATCATTACACCACACTGTGCTGCTCTCATGTAACCTAACCATACTTCTAAATAAAATAAAATCATACTTAAAAACCAGTAATATTCTGCTAAATATAATTCTAACTTAGGGTGTGAACAAGGCAGACCAGAGTCTCATTGGTGCATTTAGTATCTATGTGGGAGAGTATCATCTCTGTAATAAGGAATTGTGTAAAACAGTTCTCATTGTCCAGCAGAAAGCACATTTCTCTTTAGCCTGGGCAAGCAACAAGTTTGTGCAACACCAGTTCAGCAAAGGATTTCTTTTGTGTGCATTTTTGCATTGGTTGGATTGATTTCAGCAACCCAAACATTTTCTTCTTGAGACTGTGCTAAAGAGACTCAAAAAAAGGACATAGACTTTACACTTTATGTTGTGAGCCGCCCCGAGGCTTCGGCGAATGGGGCGGCATAGAAATGTTTTAATAAATAAATACAATAAATAAATAAATATATTTGCCGGAACTGGAGCTATCCTTCTGAAAACAGATGCAATGCTTGATCCCTTGGATATGTTTCCAGTGTGGCCTCCAGGCAGATATCCCACCGGCCAAGCATTAAGATCATTGTATACAGCAGCATCTATCACGCACATCACACGCAGGCTGATGGGATAAACATCTCTTTCATCTAAAACCCGGGGGAACTTCTCAAGCAATGAAAGAGTGCCCTGGTAGGCCAGCAGCTACAACATATTCCTCCAGTAAAGTTGGAGAAGGCTAAATCAGAAGTAGCACCATTACAGCCTTGGGCTGCTCAGACCTACCTAGGACCGATAACTTGGCAGACGCAATGGCGTCTCTCGCAGCAAACGTCACCTCTCCGGCGTGATGGAGCTGCGCTTTCTTCAGTACAAGCTTGAAGTGGTTGCCATCGGCCTCGATTCTCCAGTTTTCATCAGCTTGGATGTCCACATCATTCATGTACCAAGCCACCTCATGGACCGGGACAGCTTCACTTAAAATGCAGCTGAAGACAGCTTGGTCCCCGGCCGTGACAGTGACGTCACTTAACGGCTGCAAGAACTCCAGACGCCACCCTGAAATTATACAAGACGTGATGCTTTTGAATTCTGCGACTCCTTTTGAATAGCTTCAAGCTGGCAGGACCCTTAAAAGGGTGTAAGGGCTCCAAATCATTTAGTTTGGGAGATTTCTTTGACATTATTAAAAGCCCAATTTTTTGGCAACATATTTAAAGGAAGGCTGGACTGATACACAAATTCTCAGACCATGTGTCTGGAAACGCCAAATCTCTGTCCACAGAATAAATTACATAAACTGGGAAAACACTCTTAATTCCATCCTTTTGCATGTCTGTGCAACACATTTCTGAGTTATGACATTATGACAGTAAGGTTAGAAGATCTTGGAAGCTAAGCAGGGTCAGGCCCAGGCAGAAGTGGGATGGGTGACCTGAGTATATGATTCTATGATTATTGCTGTCAACTGCCTAGAGAGCTTTGGCTATGGGCAGTATAAAAATGTAATAATAATAATAATAATAATAATAATAATAATAATAATAATGTGGAAAGGGTCCATGGCATAGCTTCTTCCCACATTAAGGTTGCCCCTGTTTTCCAGAGGAGGAACACCAGAATGAAGAGGTCACTTTCAGAAGACCCTTCCGAAAGGATGGGACACAGTTGCACTCATAAGGTGAGTTCCTAGAGGCGATTACTAGATTGGTTCCATGACCCACTCTATGCATGCTCAGATATTCATTCTGGGTGCTTTGTGGTTTTGGCCAATAAAGAATGCTTTGCAAGGAAAAATGTCAGTGGCTTTTGAATGCACAGAGGAGGAATCCTGGCTCACCACACCTAAGAAATATCTGGATCTGGCAACTTCCGGAAAAAGGACAAAAGACTGAAGGGAGCAATTATCTGCTTCCTGGACCAGGAGGGGCTGCTGCATGCTGGCATTACCTCTCACAGTCAGAAATGCAGAGGTCACCACGTCGCTGGCCTGGAAGGTGACTCTGCAGCTGTCTTGGGCAGTGAGGTTCTTTAGGAGAAGCAGATGGCGGAGTCCGTTCTCAAAATAAACCATCTCGATATTTTCCGAGGTTTTGGCAGGCACGTCATCGACCAGCCAATTGTAGTTATAGCACTCCGGCTTGGAGAGGTAGCACTCGAACAGCGCTTCACCCCCTTCCATTGCCTCCACATTCTCCAAGCCCTGGACAATGGTGTTCTTGGCTGTTAAAAAAAAGGAAGGAAAAGGTATTAATCACCGAATTTAACACAATTGGGTAGGGCTAGCCTGGAAAGATCCTAAATAGATTGCAAAGATCAGCTGAATGTGCTTTTAGGATTTTTCTTCCAATTCCATTGACCCAGTAAACTTTCTTTAAAGCTTAGCTGTAATACTGCTTAACATTTGCTCTGAGATGCTGCTGCATTTTGCTTGGTTATCGCCAGATGGCTACTTAAGCATTTGTTTCCTGAAGGCCGCCAAAACGCAGAGTTTAAAGTAGTGGACTCAGAGTCAACTCTCATGGCAACTGCTCCTTATCTCAGCCCAGGGCAGGCCGGGCTGCACCATCAGAACTCTGGACAATCTACTTGTCAAGAGCAAGGGGCTAACAAAGGGCCGAAGAAGGAAGCCAATTATAATAAATATTACACAACCATTGTATTGTGATGCTCTCAGAACAATTCCATCCCTGCTCCTAACCTCAACAAAATGAAAACTGACAGCAAAGTCTGTTCTAGGCCCAATAAGATTTCTTAAGCATGGCTGGGGGTGCTGGGAATTGCATTCTAACTCATCTGGAGGGCAACACGTTGCAGATGGCTCTGTGAGCAGGCAAAACCACTCCCCCTGGGTCACCATGAATGTTACGTGCAATTGTAGGCATGTCTCTTGTCATTATGGACACTTGGTTTTTACTGATTTTATTTAAAAACATATGGGCAAGCATTGCACAATTCAGGGCAGCAAATAGTTGACCATTAAATAGAATGTTGCTAACCGAGCACAAAATCCAAATCTCATCTTAATTCCATTCACTTATAGCAAGCCATTAAGAACTGGCCAGAATAATATTATACTAGACAATATTGTTCAATGCCTGGACTCTAGACGATCACATAACCGTTGCTGAACAAGAATGCTCCAGCTTTCAGCTTCTGTTCTGAGCCAAGACATTACACCAGATCTTTCATATTTTCAAAAGAAAACTTTATTCTTATATTAAGCATTTCAGAACAGTGAAAAATAAAAGCCAGTTTGGGATTACAAAAAAGCATATATTTGCAGAATTAGGAGCTAGGGTCACACCTTAAAACTTTCACAGACACCTTTTTCAGCCTCCTTGCAACAGGTTAGAACCTGACGGGTTTGCTCGTGTCTTTGCACTCCCATCCTCAAAGGTAAGAACAAACGGCCGACTGCAAAAGGCAGCGGCCCTCTATGGTCCGGAACAGTTGACCGCGTCTCCGTTCTGGCTCCAGCTGGTACAGCGGGAAGCTGCTGCAGGCCACAGAAAACAAGGCCTTTTGCTGCGCCCGGCAGTCGCCGCAGCGAGCGCTCCCTTTATTCTCATGCCAGTCTTCTTTCCACCATGGGGACCTCACCTTGAACTTCAAGCATGGCCACCACTTTCGTGCCTCCGGCTTCGCAAGCATAGATGCCGGTATCGCTCGGAAGAGCAGGCTGGATTCTCAGCTTGGCCACGTTCCAGTCCTGCTCAATCACAATGCGTCGGCCATCCGCGTGGACCTCCTGGTCATTCTTCGTCCACGTGGCCTGCACGGGCCGAGAGTACTGGCAGATCAACTCTGCAGTGCCGTCTTCATCGATGGTAACGTCCTGCATGGGGCCGACCACCTCGACGGTGGGATCTGTCAACCAACACGTCGGGAGGGACATGCATTAGTGCCGCCTTTGGGGATTAAAACTCTCGGGGTGAGTGAGACGCGGGGAAGCTGGCCGGAAGCGCTCGTTTAGTCTGCTTGGTGTGGAGGCTGCTTGCCTCGGTGCCATTGTTACAGAAGCGGGTGTGTTAGCATCGCACGTCTCCAGTGGGTTATGGATCTATACATGTTTGTGCATTTGCAGACGCTGGACCGACATCCGGGGCTTGCCTGCCTGGTACCTCTTCCCCGTGCTAAGAGCTTTATGCTCAACCACCCCACATGCACCCAGAGTTGGGTGTCGTATGGGAACGGGAGCCATGCAATGGGATTGCCCAGAAGTGCCACAGCACTGGGGCAGTTGGGATCAGAAGGGGCTGTGGCTACCCTGCTTGTTCCTTAGCTACTCTTCCTACATTGCTAGAACTGTGTCCAAAACCGGGGGAATCCAAGCTGCAAATCAGTGGGAATCCCAGTGGGATTGTTCCTCACAAGACCCTATTCTTTCATGGTATACATGAAGCTACGGAACCAAAACTAAGGGGACAAGGCCCTGAGTTCCAAAGAAGAGCCCTTGCATCACGAGACATGGCCCACTGCATCCCTTTTGCACCTATAAGCCAAATACAGCCAAACAGAAGGAAAGCGATCTTGGCCAGCCTGCCATGCGCAGAGAAGGTAAGCAGGTGTGAAGCGGAAATGCGAACAGCACAGCTCTAAACCCTCTGAGGAAAAGTTGGGGGAAGAGTCTGTTACAGCTGGTGATATGAGCATTTTATTTTCCTGGTGCATGAAGCCAGGTGCCAACATCCTGAGCTCCTTTCATTGCTATCCTTTCAAACCATCAAGGGGACATTCCTCCCACTCTGGAATAGCCATGAAGGAAACGGTCACGGCTGAATGAGAACTTTGGCTTATGCGCTTGACGTCCCGCACAGGGTTGCATCAGTGCCTTAACACAACAAAAGGTGTCACTTGATCGCTTTCAGGATCTCAGTTTTTCTTTGGAGATAATTGCAGCATAGCCAGCTATGCACCAGTCTGTTTGGCTAACCGAATTAACAAATTCTAACAGAACTCACAAATTCTAACAGAATTCAGATCCATGACCTGCCCTTTGTGACCTTTATAACAGCCCAATCCTTTTAGATAATTGTCCTGGCCTGGTTTGGGGAAAATGGAAGGAAAACTCCATTTATAAGACAGGATTTGCATATCCCCACCGAGGAATCTTTGCCTCAGCAATCACTGTTGTGCCCATCCTAGTTACTTGGATGGGTCTATTACAAGGACATCTCCAGTTTAGTATTTATGTCATGGAGACTCAATCCCAGTTTAAACTGGATCCACGGTGCTGGCAGGAACGACACCCTTGCTCCTCTCTTTCTATGGCAGTCCTCCAGCTCCCCAACGAGGCCACACAGAGGCCTGGTTCACACGATCCCTGTATCCTACCATGGCTCACTGAAGCCACAATGAAACATCACACCCGTGGGTGCCATGTTTCCCACTCAGACTCAAGTAGGGGCTTGTCATGACAGACAGACAGCACTGAAACCCCTCAAATAATCCTTGCCTTGTTGTGGGGTAAGCCAAAGGTTGTTTAACCTTCACACAACCTCTAATGCCAGGGTTCAGATCTCACGGCAAAGCATGGCTGTCTGCTGGTTTGCGTGTCACAAACCAGCGTGGCTTAAACAAGCTATGATGGGCTGCAGTGACCATGTGAACAGGCCCAAAGAGTCAGGGTGAGCTGTGGGGGGAGAGGGGCAAATTCCCCCACATCCGGCAGAGGTCCTTTCCCCTCATGGGAGGGATCCAACTCGGTCTAAGCACCTCTGGAAATATGCCACCCTGCCTGGCTGCTTCCTAGTGCGTTTGCTCGCGCAACCAGCATGGGGTTTAAATGTGTTGCACTGATACGGATAAGCAAGCCATGCTTCTCTGCTGCCTCGCGGAAGATGACCGGAATAGCCCTCAGCGCCCCTTGCACACGCACACCGCAGCGGTTGTGACTGTGAGCTGGCATTAGCACCGAATGGAGGAGCCCGACGCTAAGTCTCCAGGTGCCGAATCGTGCCGAGCTGGCCGTCCCCTGGTTAACGCAGTCGTGACTCTGCAGGATGTGGTTAAGTGCCCCACGAAGCCAGAAGCATGGTTGGTGGGTGAACTGCTGGGTTTGCGTTCCAAGCCCAAATACCTTTGATCAACAATTTAGCGGAGGAAATGAGGGGGCCGGCTCTGAAGGTCACAACTCCTGAATCGTTATGCCCCAGGTCCTTTAGGGTCAAAGTGTGGACTTTCCCATCCTGGACAGAGATTTCGTTCATGGGGCTGTTCTGAAGCGGGGATCCATCCAGCCACCACTGCACAGTTTGCATGCTGGGGCATGAAAGCTCGCAGGTAAAAGTGGCACATTCGCCCGCAAAGACGTCCGTGTTCTTTAAACCAGAAACTATCTGGACTTCCTCTTCTGTGTAACAGAGCAAGAGAATTCATACCAAGGGAGAAGAAAGGTGTAAAGAGGCGCTTGCACACTGCCACGGTCTGGCAAAACTGACAACTTCTGCCAATTACGCAACAGACAGGAAAGATCAGCGATTGCTGTGCAGAGGGGCTCCTTATCCATCACAGCTTTTATCTGGGCTTTATAGGAACTCTCCACAGTGCTCTATGATGGTGAACCTACTCCGGAGCTGTAGTTCCCATAGAGCTCAGGATAAAAGCCAGAACGAATAAGGAACCCCACCAGGTCCTCACCCTTCCCTGGCAATGGATTTCATTGGGGATTTACAAGCTAGTACAAGTTATTGAAGAACGTGAGATGGGAATATGCTCAGGGCCATCAAGTTACAGGGGCTTTTCATGGGGAAGGTTTATGGGTTGACTTCTCCCTGCCAGCAGGGCAATGCTGACATTGTGTGAGAGTCACACGGCATCCTAAAACCTTTGGTTCGCGTGTTAACCGACAAAATACCCATGACCCCACACCAGAGTTGCAAAAGGAAATCCAACCTGCTGGAACGCCACCTGGTTTAAAAAAGAGAAAAGCATGTCAAGCACCCCTCTTCAGAGCCGCACAGCAGCGCAGCTGTGGAACTGCAGTGATCGGTCAGGAGGAAGAAATCAAGGTGCAGTCACCTGTCGCATCAGCGAAAGGACAGGTTTGCACAGCGCCCACTGACTCTACAAGGACCCCAGAGGCAGCCGATCTGCCGCAAAATTAATGTGATTCCTCTCCCCACCCCAAAAGCATGGAGTCAATTGCGTGACTTTGGTTTTGCATCTTCAAACAATTAGTGCTTTTCATCACAAAGGGGGGGAAAAAAGGGCCCCAGATATGCAAAGGGGTCAGTAGCAGCACTCTTCGTATTTGGAGGTTGCATTTGATCAGCGTGGCTCAGAACTAGGATACGCCGAATCTTCCTCTGAAAGGCTGAAACCCCAGTACTTTACCGCCCTGCCATTGCACATGCTGTAACCTGTTTGGGGGACACCGCGGTGGGCCGTGCCTTAGACCCCCAACTGGCTGATGCGTAGGAGATAAGGAAACAGCTGTTTTGGACCCGAAAAACATGAGTTTCCGTGCTTTGGAGAAGGCTGCTCCCTGCCACCAGTGGTTCACACATCGCCTTCCAATGTTGTGTTTCTTCCCGTGGGAGGAAAGGGGGCCCTGTAGCTTCTTCACGGGCGGAAAGGCAGCTGGTGGCAGGAGATTTTGAGAGCACAAGAGCGAGTGTGGTGCCGTGGTTCTGGGGCTCAGGTGGTTCGGGTTCTAGTCCCAGTTCAGCCATGGAGCTCACTGGGGGACTGTGGGCCAGTTGCAGATGCTCAGCCCGACCTAGGGCATAGGAGCAATCGGGCATTCTGAGCAGTTGGCTGCCTTGAAGGCTTGGTTTTACTGGGAAGGAGGGGCAGAAGTAATCCCCACCCCCTGCCCAATGAGCCTTCCAGCCCCTTAGGATCTGAGGCGGAGGCCCTTCTCCAGGAACCCTCCTAGAAGGAAAGCAGGAAGGCGGTTACCCGGAGAAGGGCCTTCTCTGGGGTGGCACCCTGATTATGGAATTCGCTCCCCAGAAAGGCTTGCCTGGCCAACACTTTATTCCTTTCAGTGCCAGGCAAAACCCTTTTTATTTCCCCATTATTTTAATGTTTGATAGGCTTTAATGTGGATTGTATTCTATTGGAAGCAGTGGATGCTGTGCTCTTTTTTATCTGCAATGCTTTTATTGTAAAACTGTCCCAAGACACTAGTAGTTGGGACAGGAGATAAAAGCTTGAATGAATGAATGAATGAATGAATGAATGAATGAATGAATGATCTAGAATCAACTCTCAAGCTGGTTGTGTAGCACTGATGAACAGATTCTACAGTTCTAACACAGCTTTCCTTTCTTATCGAACTCTGTAAAAAGCTTTCAATTGTAAAATAAAGCCAGCTTTTCTGTGTGTGGCTTTGCATAGTAAAAGTGAGTTGATTACTTGCAGAAGTGAATTTCCATGCTTAAATCCAGAGGTGGAGAGAGAAGCTGCATTGACAACACGGGGACATAATTCACATGAGGTCCTAATCAGGCTTCCCAAGGTGCCCCAGAAACATAGAAACTGAGCAACTCAGAAGGGGTCTCTCGGGCCATCTAGTCTGACCCCTGGCTCCAGCTGGCTCTGCTCACGACATGCCCACCATGTGCATGTCCAGCCTATCCTTGACCATCCTCACCGACGGGGCCTCAACCACCTCCCGTGGAAGCCCATTCCACACCCTCAGGGTCCTGACTGTCAGGAAGCACTTCCCGGCATCCAAATCGAACCTTGGCTCCCTGAGCTTGGCTCCGTTGGAGGGCGTCCTGCCTTCCTCTGTAGGGGAGAACAAGTCTCTGCCCATCTCCATGTAACATCCCCTCACATGCCTGTATGTCACCAACAGATCCCCTCTGAGCCTCCTCTCCTCCAGGCTGAAGAGACCCAGTTCCCTCAGTCTCGCCTCATACGGCTTTCCCTGCAATCCGCCCACCATCCTTGTGGCCCTTCGCTGCACTGACTCCAAACTGGCTATATCCTTCCTGTGACGAGGGGTCCAGAAATGAACACAAAGGCCTCGCGCATTTCCCCATGTCTCCAGGTGCTTCCCACACCAAAAACATTTGTTGGTTTTCCAGCATCACCCCCCCCCCCCCCCCCCACACACACACACTGAAAGGTTACAAAGCGCCTCACAAGTCCAAGTTACTGGCAGGAAGAGTTTTAAGTTAAATTAAGCTGCTATTCGGGTTGCTTCAGTGCCGGCCCTTTGGCACATGGTCCCACCTCTTTTGCTTTTAACCTCCTCTGAACCCTGGAATGTGTCCCTCGCCCCTCAAAGCATGCCTGAGCATGAATTCAGCTCTTGGCTGCAAGTGGTTCACAGCATCCCGAGCCAGTGCAGGATGAGGCCGCCATGTGCCAGCCAGACAGCCATCCAGCACCTGCTCGAATCCTTCCAGTGAAGAAGGCTTCACCGTCTCCTCCAAGGCCTCCTGTCAAAGGACTAGGACATTTCTCCTAGTTGGCCAAGCGTAATGAGAAAGGAGAGATCTAAAGACACACCACAGTTGCGTCATGCATGGTGAAACTGCTTCACGGAATGTAAAGTGCTCGTGTCTTGGTGCCTTTCCTTCGGAGGCCTGCGATGCCATATGACACATGTCTCAGGGGTCACAAAAGCCAGCCCCAGAGCACAGGGAACTTACCTTGCACGTAAACGGAGCCGGTGGACAGCTCGTCTCCCGTGCTGCACGTGTAGGGGCCACAATCCTCGGGCTCCAGGTCGTGAATGACCAGCTCCACGACGGTGCCTTGCCGCCGCATCTCATACTTGGCGCTGGGCTGGAGCACCAGGCCTCCCTTCCGCCACTCGACGGCCGCGTCGCGTCTGGAGAGCTCGCAGCGCAGGACGGCCCTTCCCCCTGCTTCTGACTCGACGTTCTGGAGCTTTTCTTTAAAGAGGGCTGGCAGAACTGCAGGGAAAAGGGGATTGAAGGAATTGCTGCTGGCTCTCGTGCAGTACCAGCGCCCTCTGGCAGGGCGCGTGCCAGCCCCTCCTGGTGGAATGGGCAAGAATTTCACTCTGGTTTAGTTCTGAGAATTGACCAAAAAATCGCAACTTTCTCTATAACGGGGACAGAAGGAACTTGGAATGCAAAGTGTGAAAATGGGAGGAACAGAAACGGGCACTTTTATCCAGCAAGATCTAGGTGGCGGAGCGCTTCACTCTTACACAGTCGGCTTTGCATTCCTGTACATTCAACCCTATTAGTGCAGAGAAGAAGGAAAAGAACGGGAGGAACACACAGGGGGTGGGTGGATTCCATAAAGGAAGCCACTGTCTTGAACCTACAAGAGTCGCGGGGTCAGGGAGAAGACTTTAGGGAGGGCTTGCATTTGAAGAGCACGTGACAACACAAAACAGCCACCTTCTTTTTTCTGACAGGCTCCACATATTTAACAGCCGGCAGGCACTCACGGTCTTCCCCAGGCCTGGAATAGCTTCTCCTATTGAATTTGGCCAGAGCAAGTAGATGAGGATTGCATTTATTTGATAAGAATTTATCAGATCTGCAAAGCTCTTCACATTAAGGAGCAGAGGAAAGAATCTGAGAATTTTAAAATAGAATCCAACACAGGAGGAAGGAACCTGACCAATTGGCCCATGTCTATTCAGAGGAGAGTCTCTCCCAGTGGAAAAATAGGGTATATACTTAGCTTAGTGTTGTAAGCCGCCCCGAGGCTTCGGCGAATGGGGCGGCAGAAAAATGTTTTAATAAATAAAAGATAAATAAAATATACGGTACCCACTAGTGGATGTGGCTGCAGGAAGCTTGGCACTACTCAGCAGCTACAGAGTTAAGATTTCATACCCCAAACCGAGACGCCTTTAAGACTGGAAGCAGCTACGCCATGGATTTCTGGCAGTGCTATCACATTTTCATCAGGATGTGGAAAAATTCTATCCAGTGTTTCAGTGCTATGGAAAAGGAAGCTGTCAATGACAGTTGTGCAGCCCAGGCTCAGAGAAGGGGTCTGCCTGGGTGCTCCAGTGTGGCTTTCCCTCCGATACAAGATAAATAACAACAGTGATGATACAAGACAAGGAAGCACCGCAGCACTGAGGAATCCCCCGAGAACAAACCAGTGGACGGGTGCGGAACTGGCCCAAGTAGCTCTTACCTTTGACCTTCACTGTGGCAGTGGTCTGATGATCCTGTGACTCACACGTGTACTGCCCATCATCCCCAGCTTCCAAATCATAAATGAGGAGCTCAGCAAAGTTCCCTTCCTGACGAAGGTCGTACTTGTCACTGGGCCGAAGCACCACATTCCCCTTCTTCCAGACCACCGGAGCCATGGGCTTGGAGAGCTCGCAGCGCAAGGACACCGTGTTTCCCTCCTCCGCCTCCTTGCTTTGGAGGCCACGCTTGAAAAGCACGGGGAGAGCTGGAAAGACAACCGCACGGTAGAGAGAAAGCGTTTCCACTGGCTGGACGGGAATGGTGGTGTGGCAGGATTTGCTGAGCTGCGAGAAAGATGCTGCCCCCGCATGGTTACACGCCCCATGTCACCAGACTCCTTCTCAAGCAGCATGTGCTTTTCTTGCCCCAGTGATTAGAATCATAGAACAGTAGAGCTGGACGGGGCCTACAGGGCCACTGAGCCCAACCTCCTGCTCAGAGCAGGACTCCAGGTTCAAGCCTCCCTGCCAGATGGCTGCCCAGCTGCCTCTTGAAGGCCTCCAGTGTGGGGGAGCCCACCACCTCTCTAGCTCATGGGTCCTTTTGCTCTAATAATCTTCCCGATCTCCAGCCAGGATCTGGCTCCCTGTAACTTGAGCCCATCCACAGAACTGGGCACAGTCTGCGCAAACCCCAGACGGGCTGCTGCTAGAAAACAGAAGCTCTCTAGAGATGATTGCACTCGACATGCTGACTGCTGGCTCCAGGTCTCGAAGGACATTGGTCAGTGTGCCCTCATGGAGCCTCACCCCTGGGTAGACAGGCCTTCTCTCTGCCCTGGTCAGCAGCTGCACCACTTCGCCGCCTCCTCCTCCTCCTCCTCCTCATCGTCGTTACCACTTGCTTATTCGGATAGCAGTGATGAAGGGCACAGCTCGGCGGCAGCATCTGCTGATCTTCCTTCTCACCGCCTCCATCGGCTAGGAGGCGCATGGATCAGTGCGTGTACTGGTGAAGAGGAGCGACTCAGGGTGTTTTGGTCAATGGTTCCCGCTGGGCCATGGGCCCATGGAAGATGCCCGACCGTGCCTACCCTGGGTGCTTACACCAGCTGGACTCTGCCCTGCTTGGCTTGCAGAGCCATCCAAGGTTCAGCAAGCACCCCTCTGAGCATGCTCACTTGGGCTCCTCTGCTGGTTGCAAAGGATTCTGAGCAGCTGATGTTCTGCTACAGAATCAGGGGGGTTTCTAGGAATCCTGAGCAAGAGAAAGACATTCTGTGAGTCATTTGCAACCCACAAAGCAACCGACTAATGGCTCCACCACTGTCCACCATGTCGGACTCCCTTTTTGCTACTCCGATGGGCATTTGTTTCATTCACCAGCCCAGTCAAATGCCCATGAGACCTCTTGTCTTGTGCCTAAACCAAGAATTCCCAATGGCTCTTGTTTCTTCCATGTTCTGGAATTTAAAATTAGAAGTTGTCCAGGACAACAGTCCAAAATAGAGCAGTCTGAAAGTGTTCCTAAACTGCAGTGCTCGTGGGGTGTGGGGAGGGGAGCTGTTCTATTTTCTAACCCTAACGTGATGGGAAGCAGGGGCTCCTCCACAGGTGAAGCATCTAAAAACTAAACTCCAGGAGAATATTTGATTAAAGCAACATTTCCTATGAAATTGGAGATTACTCTTCAGATGAAATATATGAGGAAGTTCAAGGGAAATCAAAAGCAGTTTGATCATCAACTTCTTTGGGAAATGTGTGTGTTGCACATTCTGCCTGAAAGAAGCCTGAAAAAGGAACCTTCCTTGCTCACAAGTATACACACATCATGCTCATGCCCAAATGGAATATGTTTCCACCAGTGAAGAACCTGCAAGTGGCTTCTACCTTTTCCTTCCTGGGGGTCTGAAGGAAGCAGAATCTGAAACCATCCGCATCATCTTGCATGGTCCAGATGGAAACCAGCCAACCTTCCTCCTCCATATCAGCTCAAAAGGCTTCCCGGCTACATCTTCCATTCAGCCTTCCCTCCCCCTTGCCCAGCAAAGAGAAGCGGGACTCCCGGAAACTTGCCCATTTTTGCGATCTTTGAGCTGGCCTAATAGAGTCATTGCACTGTGTGGATGTTGTGGGTTTGCTCACACAGGCCAAGACGGCTGCCTTTGTCCTGAAGTATAACCTGTGGCCGTAAGCTTTTTCAAGAGTGCTCTCCCGGGTTAAGGGGATCCGCCATTGTTTCTTCACTTCTCCCTACAATCCTACGGGTAAGAGAAACCTTGCACTTTAGACGGTGACACCAACGCTTTCCAAGACGAGGCCTCACCTGTAACCTTGAGTCTGGCTGTGGTCTTCCTCTCCGCCGTACTGCAGCTGTATTCCCCAGAGTCCTCAACAGCAACGCCACGGATGACCAAAGTGTGTACCGTTCCTTCAGCCTTGATTTCAAACTTCTGGCTGGGCTGGATTTTGGATGCCCCCTTCTTCCACTCCACCTGGGCACTAGGTTTGGAGAGGCCACAGCAGAGCATGGCTGTGCCGTTCTCCTCTACTTCCAAATTCTCCAGTTGCTTTATGAAGATCGCGGGTGCAGCTGCACAGACAGGAACAGAAACCTTTACTGGACTGCGTGATATTTAGTGAGCCCTAAATTTTTCATAAGACTTGGTAGTGAGAAAAATGAATGTACAGTTGCAGTGTTCCCCCGTTGCCCACATTTAAGGTATGTTGAAAGGTTTCGGGACTCTCCAGGGTCCAGATAAAACATATAAAGTCGGCGCCAGGCGAACCTCTCTGGGGAGCACATTCCACATTCGGGGGCCACCGCAGAGAAGGCCCTCCTCCGGGTGTTCACTCTCCTAACCTCCTCCAAGGAGGGTTCCCAGTTAGTATTATTGAGTAACTGTTGAGGTGACAGAATTTTACTAGGGGAGAATGTAACCCCTATGAAATATTGGTACAACCCAAAGGGGTGGGACTAAGAAAGAGTGGGCCTGTAAGAAATTTGAATTAGAAAGAGCAGGAAAGGTGAAGAGGCAGGAGCTGCTGTTGCCACGAAGGTTTCGGTATAATTCCTACATGTTTGTGTCAGTGGGGGGGGGGGGGGGTGAATCCACATCATGAATTCATGTATATGCAATTAAATTGGCATTTTATTCCAGGACTTTGAAGATTCTGCACATGCAGCTGACTCTTCTGCGTTTAGGCAGTTTGGATTCTTTTGTCTGAGTTGGATTCAAAAGGACTCCTGGACTTCGTGGCTCTACAGCCAGTTTTCTTTGGTGTTGGTGCTGTTGCCAGGGACTTGGGTGCATGGGTTGCAGTATTTTGCTATTATAATTGTTCGTGTTGTTTTGTCACAAAAGTGTTGACAAGAAGTGGTTCATTTTGTATGCTGGGGTGTGTTGCAATGTTCACTGGGAAAGAAATAGCCCCACAGAATCTGCCATTTGCAAGGCTCCTGGTTCAAAAATAATTTTAAAAATCTCAGAAAACATCGGGAGGGGCAGCCAGCCTGGAGGGCACTAATGCAGTGTTGCTGGACCCTCTGGTCCTCTTGGAGATGCCAAAGCAAATTTGACACAAAAGATGCCCACATTTGCACTTGCAATAAAGTCGATGACTTAAACAGATTTAACGTTTCATTTTGTTCTGGACATGGGTTCTTCTAAGTGAAATATTAGGATTTTGCAGAACTCAGAATATTTTGAGAAAGGCTGCATTAGATCCAGTAGGTGACTTGCCTGGAGAACAAGTCTAATGGATGGGATTCACTTAGCTGGACCTTGTGGGTAAAAGAAGACGTGGATTGGCATCTCCAGATGGAAAGATTCCTTCCTCCAGAACTCGCTAACTTACACTGCACAGTCAGCTGAGCTTCTGAAGAATTCTGCCCCACTCGGAAACTGACACAGCCAGAATCTTCGAGGGACACCTTTCGGAGGGTGAGAATGTGACGTTTTCCTCGGACCTCAATCTCATTCATTTCATTGGACTGGAGAGGCACGCCGGCCAAGCTCCACTGCACATCCTTAGCTTTCTCGGAAGAGACCTGGCACTGGAACATGGCATCCTCATTTTCATACAGAGTGATATCTTTCAGAGTTTCCACTATGGTGATGGGTGGTTCTAAAATAGAAAGCAGAACAGACCCAAATTGCCACAATTTTTGCCTAAAGAGCACTGGAATTTCCAGAGAAGTGAAACATACGTTGTCAAAATTCCCCCAAAGTTTTTCTTACATACATAGTTCATTTCTTCATTTTATTCTACTTTTAAAATCGCATTTACAAAACTTATAAACTGTTCTTTATCTAGAAAAGGTTCCTGAGAACTGAACAGGAAAGTAGGTGGGGAATCAAAATACAATAATTAAAGTATTTAACTGAAGTAAATCAGTGCACAGTTATTCAGGAAAAACTGCTTAAATGAAAATTGTTTGTGCAGATGTGGGAAATAAAGCAACGCCAAGGCCTGCTGGATAACAACAGGCAGGAAATTCTACAGAGAGGCAGCCATGAGAATAAAGGACCCTGCTCCAAGCAAACTCACTACAGCCTTCGGGCCCATGAAGAGCCATCAGAGATACCACCTCCAGTTCAGTGACTGGGCAGGCCAATGAAGGAGAAGCTACTTTCTGGAAGACCTGAAGTCAGCGTGCTTAAAGCTTTATGCATCCAAAGCAACGCTTTGAAATTGACCCAGTAACAAAGGTGTTCTACCCTGGAAAGGGGCAGCGGCCGGCTGCAGCTGAGCCACGAAACATTTTTACCCCACCCGGTTCTCACCAGAATACCAGAGTGATGCTAGTTCACAGCTAGAAACCTGGTTCTGCCCCCGGCAGCTAGCCATGGCCTTTCCAAAAGCCCCACCTTTCACCAGCAGAGCAGCCACTGTCCGATGGTCGGCTGTGCTGCAGCTGTACTCCCCCGCGTCCGCAGGGCTCAGCTGGCAAATAGTCAGCTCCGCCACAGTGCCGGCTTGCTTCATCCTGTATTTGTCACTGGGCTGGAGGAGAAGATCCCCCTTCTTCCACTGCACAGGTGCGCCATGTTTGGAGACCTCACAGCGCAGGGTGGCTGACCCACCGTCTTCTGCCTCTTGGTTCTCCAGGAGCCTAATGAAAAGTACTGGCAAAGCTAAGGGGAGAGAAAGGGAGAGAGCAATCAGAGACAGAGATGCGCAGGGCTTCCTTGCTATTGCACAGATGAGGTCTTAACCTGGATATTTTAAAGAGTTGGGCTGCTTAGTCTAGGAGTGTTTGGCAGGTAGCAAAGGACTGTTGCTTTCTGCAGGTTCCACCCTTAACAGTGGCCTAGAAATATATCCTTTAGATCTAGAAAGACTGAAAGAACGAGGACTCTGTGTGGACGCATGCAAGGGGAGAAGGAGGCTGGAAGATGTCCATTTGTGGTGCTCCGTCCGTGAAATGAAAGCGCTGATGCTTCAAAGAAAGCAGAATCGGAAGAGAGGAAGAGCCTTCCTTCCGCCCAGGCACAAGGCCGCTGGCATAACCCTGCCGCCAAAGCACACGAGGGGAAGAACCCATTTCTGGAGAGCGATATATGGATTTTGTTAAATCCGTTCCACCTGCGATTGCACATGATCAGACATCTTTCATCCCATCCTCTGCTCTTTGACGAAACAGGATTGCTTAGTAGGGATGTGTGAAAATTTTGTTCCATTGCACATTTCTGCAAAGCCTCATTTGTGCAGGGGTGCCTTGGCAATAAGACAGATTTGCACACATGCCAATATGTGAAAATGACCCCTTGCAAAGTCTGCAAGCCTGAGAGTCCCACGTAACTCAGAAAAAAGCCAGTTTGCTGATGACACACGTCTGAGAAATCCCCAGGCTGGAGTCACCAAACTCCAAATTCATTTGAACCTGCTCTTGACTTCTCTAAAATCCCTACTCCTAGATATTCACCATCCTTGAAGGAGAAATGTCCAGTTTCACTGAGTTGTAAGAGCACAGGAGAAATGAAGAATAATGACACGACAGCCTGAAGTAAGTGCTCAAGAACAATTAGGGGTGGTTCCCACTGGATGAATCCCAGTTCCAAAATTTCCAGCCCAGCATCTACTTATTTCAAAGCGTATGGATGAATTCTCAATGTTATGTAGAAGTAGTCGTAGCCATAATAGTAATAATTACTGAGTTTGGATGCTTTTAGTTTATGGTTCAGATTTTAAACATGGCCTCCGCTTACGACATTTAGGACATTTATGGCATTGCAGCATCTTTAGACTCTATTTCTGCTTCAGTAGCGAATGGCAAAAATATATCCAAATTCTGACAAAAGTTGAACTGAAGTCAATGTCACCGTTCATCCTGGGTTTGGATGCATCATACATTTCCCTTTCGGAAGGCAGACGATCTCATTATGAATAAGGCTTTTTCACATTATTTGCCCTCTCCATCCCAGCATCAAATAAGAATGCACAAAGAAGGTAAAGATGAGTCTTACTAAAAGTCTTTCAAGAATCACTTCCTGAACCTGTTAATTTAGAGGACTGAATGTCAGACTTTAGAAACCTGGGTTCAGCCCAGCAAGCCTTGCCAGAAGGAGCAACTAGGGTGATTCGGTTCTCATGCGACCGATATTCGTGGAGCGTGAGCAACGGCGGCTTGTTTCCCTTGGTGTAACAGTCCAGACTGGCCCAATATTTTGAAAGAGCCCTGTGCCAGGCCTGAACTACAAGAAGCCGGGCCCGGGTCTGTAGCACCCTAAAATGCTGGCTTTGCTCGGCTTCAGGTGAACTCTAGTTGTCCTGTTAATATAATCAGCCAATACTGTCTTAGCTTTCATTTCCCCTGGCCGTGACTACATGGCCTTCTCTGTAAGGGAGGTTCCTTCGATACGACAGAGGGACAAAGGACTCACACAGCTGTGCTTCCATCCTTGCACACAACAATCTCCTCCTTGTGCTTTGAAGTAGAACTCTGTGTGTAAATGTCTCCTTGCAGATAAACCATGCAGCTGCCTTGTCATTTCTTGGGGATCACCAAGAACCTCATGCCCACAGGTGGGGCGCCAGACCAACCCCAAATGCAAAAAGCATAGAAGTGCCACCCAACCAGTGACGGCAGGTAAGTGTCCCTGATTTCAGGCAGAGAAGCCGGCCCGCACGCCTCACCTTTGACCAGCAGTGCTGCTGTAGTCTGCTGGTCACCTGAGTCACAGGTGTAGTCCCCACAGTCCTCAGGTTGTGCGTTGCGGATAAGAAGCTGCACGGAGCGGCCCTTCTGCCTCATCTCGTATTTGTCGCCCGGCTGGAGTTTGCTCGACCCTTTACTCCACTTCACTGGGACGTCAGGTTTGGAGAGCTCCGCTTGGAGGGTGACCGTCGTTCCTTCCTCGGCCTCCTGGCTCTCAAGAGGGACTTCAAACACTGCTGGAAGGGCTGAGCACCGCGTGGGGAAAATGAAAGGGAGCGTGAGCCAATGACCCACGGGATCCAGGCTTCCCTAACGCACGCGGTTCTCAACTGCGGCGGACAAAGAGCAGCTGGGCAAGCAGGCAACTAATTGCTCAACTCACCGAGTGGAATGAATGTGGGATCTGAAAACAAGTTGACCTGACCAAGGAAGCAGCACTGGGGTGAAAGGGGAACCCATCTGACTAGTCTGCCCCTTCGCTTGCTCTGCGTTCCAGGGGGTCCTGGGGGATGGCGCCTGGACGGCTCACCCTTTCCTAACCGTCCTCATCCATGGAGCAGCTGCCAGTGGATATATGGCCCCTACAAGTGCATGGGAGCCCTCCTTGAAGGCAGTTAGGTGTCGTGCCTTACGGCTCGACAGGGGCGTTGGCATGCGAGAGAGGGCCAGAAGCTCACAGTGAGGGTCGGGGTTGGAACAAGGGGAGTTATACTTGGTGCCCAGGGCCCAAACGACCCCCCTGCAGCCCGACTCGGAGGCTTCCTCGCGAGTAGGCTCCCCACATCCTTGTTGCAGCAGGGTGCAGCTTCCCTTTCTGTAGACTCCGAGGTGTTTGAACAAGTTGTCCCCCCGCCTCCAGACTCTGGAGCTGCTGGGCTGAGTCCCGGAGAACAGGAAGACGTAACAGGAAGCTTACAGAACACCTGACTTCGGAGGAGATTATGGAGGCTAGACCAATTGGAATGGCCGGAGAGAAGTTTCTCCCACTCACGAACAGAGAGGCGTGAGAGGAGGTTAGCGTCCACATGACTTTCTCCCTCTTAGTTCAGCAAGGAGGGGGCAACTGAGCTGCGAGGAGCTCGTTGCCGGAGCGTATCTGTTGCATCGTTAATTTTTTAGTTAATAGCAATAAAAGTCCTTAGTTTTATAGACGACTGCTGTGTGGGTTAATTGGAGACGTGAGGTACGGCCTCACGACATTAGGAGAGGATATACTCGGAGAAGGGCCTTCTCTGCGGTGGCGCCCCGGCTATGGCATGCGCTCCCCAGAGAGGTCCGCCTGGCACCAACGTTACACACTTTTCAGCACCAGGTCAAGACCTTTTTATTTTCCCATAATTCAATGTTCAAATATTTTAACTATGTCTTATGCTCAGTCATGGAGTATTATGGGTTTATATGTATTTATTGGGTGTTTGATTTGTAAGCCATCCAGAGACGCGCAACGTAATTGGACGGGATAAAAATACCCAGACAGACAGGTAAGGCGCACTTTAGCACAGGTGTTTGGCGGTGGCAAGAGCCCCTGCATTGCGACATAACAGGAGCCCCCGCCCCCCTGCAATCTCGCAGAAACATGCAGTGGAATTGGTGCAGCGTTGCTATGGTCGAGGAAAAGCATCACCTGGCCTACTGATGCTAGAGGACTCTGGGCCATCAGAGCCCCTGTGAGGCTGTGCAGTCTGGTCCTGCCCTGGGAGGGTAAAAGTCTTCACCAGGCTCGCCATCCCTCCCACGTCACGGCACCTGCTTCCACAGCCCGCTCGCCAGCGACCAGCAGGCCAAGGAAGTATATTACAGGCAGAGCTGGCTTAAGAAATACACCCTCCTCTCCCATCATCTGAAACTCAGCTGCAGTCGTTGATGGACTGGCATCCAACACAAGACTGGCGGGCAAAGGGTCAGCGGATCAGGCGTGAGTGGCCCGTGTGGTTCCGTCCTCCACCGACAGCCGGGAGCCATAACCGCTGCCACCCTGCAGCCCTTATTGCGTGAGGTGATGGCTGCATGTCGTAGCAATCCATTCCCTCTGAGCTTTAAAGACTGCCAAGTTAGGTTTTGAAGGTCAGGCCAGAATCCGGCCCTCTTGAGCCCTCCAGACTTCTTTCCCGGCCAGAAAGCCAGCAGAGCAGCGATCAAGTCCTCAAATGCTCGGGAACGCTGGGAGATTCTTTGCGCAAGGTGCACAGCACATGTAATTCCTCATGTGAGACATACAATGCATGCAATGCTTCATGCGAAAGAAGCTAACTCTTTCTACCAGGTGTGCAGTGTGGCATCGTCTGTGCAAAGTGCCCAGAAGCAGAATATCACTTGGACTTGCTTCCAGCCAGAAACCCTTGTGAATGTTCGGTGTGAGGCAGACTTAGGGCAGAGAGAAAGCAGGCCAGAGTCCAGGGAGCCAAACCGAGGGAAGCTGATGGATGGATTCCCGCCCCCAGCCAGTTTCCTCCTACCTCCCCATGGCCGAGTCCAGGGGCCTTGATTCTGGAGAGTTCATACTGCAGAAGAGCAGTTAGTACAAGGGCCAATCTGGGCCCTTTAGCTGACAAAGACAATTCAGAAGAACCGCAAGATCAAGACCGTGTGTTTAGCAAGTTCCTACCTGCAACAGACACAGTTGCTGTGCTCTTCTGGTTTCCAATGTCGCAGGTATACCTGCCAGAGTCCTCTGGCTTTAGATTATAAATCTTCAAGGTGTGCACTGTTCCTTCTTGCTCGATCTCGTACTTGGAGCTTGGAGAGATCACTTGGGTGCCCTTCTTCCATGTTGCCGAGACGCTGGGCTGGGAGACTTCGCATTTCAGGGTAACTGTGCTATCTTCCTGCAGGTCTTTGTTCGTTAGTTCCTCTTTAAATGTGGGAAGTGGAGCTGAAAAAGCAAATGTGAAGGGTTACGAAACAGAGGAGAAGCGGGAGCGGCTGCTGAGCAGGGTCGTGAGAAGGGAGACTCCGTGAGGGATCTGGGCCTCCACGGGGGCCTTGCCCAAGGGCCCCGAAACATGGCCCTACCGCCCCTCCTGCCTCTTGTTACCTTTCACTTTGAGCTGTGCCGTGGAGGCATACGGTCCAACGCGGAAGGTGATGGTACCAGAATCCTGCTGGGTGACCTTCTTCAGCCTCAGCGTGTGGATCCGGCCCTTCTCGACAGAGATCTCATTCATCTCGTTGCTCTGGAGGAGGGCGTCCTGCAGCTTCCACTCCACGTCCCGTGCATTGTCATGGGAGACCTTGCACTCAAAGACCACGTCCTCCTCCTCGAACGCCTCGGCATCCTTCAGCCCCCGGAGGATGGTGACGTCCAGTGCTGCAAGGGCCACCGTAACCGTAAGTGAAAGGCAGAAGCAACGTCCAGTTAAACTGCGGAATTTGCTGCCATGGGAAGTGGCGCTGGCCACCAGTTTGGGTGGCTTTAAAGAGGGGTTGGCCAGATCCACGGAGGCGGCGGCCACTGGTGGCTACTAGCCTTGCTGGCTAGGGGCCACCTCCTTGAGCATGCCCCTTGCGGAGGGGCTGGGCAGGCAGAGGTCTTGCGCCCGCCCTGCTGGGGGGATCCCGCGGGCAGCTGGTCGGCCACCGTGTGTGCGGAGCGCTGGACCGTGGCCTGATCCAGCAGGGCTTTTCATTTGTTCTTAGGTTCTTACATCCTCAGGATTAGACTAGCAAATTCTGGCTAAACCGTCCTTTGAGCCAGACGGACCCTTCCTCCATCCAGCACAGCATGGGTCACACGAACTGGCAGCCCGGCTCACCAGAGTCTCAGGCAGGATTCCTCCCAGCCCTGCGTGAGATGCCAGAATCGAACCCGGGACCTTCCACGTGCAAAGGAGCAGCCCTGCGCCCGAGCTCTGCCCCCCCGCCCCGCCTCACCCTTCACCGCGAGCGTTGCGGACGTCGTTTGATCTCCGGTGACGCAGCTGTACTCTCCACTGTCCTTGGGCTCCAGGTGGTGCACGAGCAGCTCTCGGCTGGCCGCCTCCTGCCTCATTTCATATTTGGCCCCAGCGCGCAGTGGCACGCCATCTTTCCTCCACTCCACCGGCGCCTTTGCGACCGTGACCTTGCAACAGAACCGGGCTGTTCCGCCCTCCTCTGCTTTCTCGTTCTTTAGCTGCTGCTGGAATTCTGGCTTGAGGGCTGTGAAGTCAACAAGAGGCAACCATTGGCTACCATGTTTGTACCTAGGAAGAGGGACCTATGGACCAGCCTGGGAAGGTGAAACCCAGAAGCCTTCATGCTGTGGAACGCATTTCTCTTGGATCGGCCCTGAGAGGCAAAGAATCGGTCGCACGGATATGGAAACAAATATCAAGGAGTTAGGACATTATCTGCTTTACTGCAACACAAGGAACTGCTGCTATTAACTATACAGCGAGGAAGAAGAGGTGAATTCTAATTCTTTCATGTCCGGAATGAAAATCTGGTTTGCATTTTCCTTTACTGCAGACACCTTTGCCAGAATACCTTGCTGTCCTTAAACTATGCAAGTCTAGACTGAAAAAGTCCTACTTTTTTATTTAAACCTGCATTGGATTGCACACTAAGAGAGCTATTTTCAGTTCACTGCCTTCAAAAGAGCAGCAAGAGGAAACCTTTAAAAAGGTATTTTTAAGGGTCGAGAAAATAAACCCATAGCATTTGCTACTGTGCATTGAAAGTCCTCACTGGGATCAGGGGCTATATTTTCTCGATAATACTAAGAGAACCTCTGGTTTATGAATGGGTCCACCAGCTGTTCTGCCCTTGCATATCATGGAGCTGTGGAAGAACACGCAGCCTGTTCAGGTCTAAGCTCCAAAATTACCACCTTGGGTTCCCTTTGGCACAGAACTACAGTTGCCCACCAGATGCTAAAAAGTTGCCTTCAGGAAGAGAATCACTTTGTGAAAGGCAAAGTGATTCTCTTCCTGAAGGCAATAGAAATATACGACAAAGTCATTTCAGTTTTCAAATCACCTAGTCATGCCCCGCTCATGAATGGCAACCCTTTAAAAAAAAGTTTGCACGTTTCTGAACTTGGGAGCACATTTGAAAAACACATACAGATATGCACACTTTCCCAGTCCAAAATTCAGTCCTTTCTTCTTCCAAAAAGGAAGGTCAAAGATGAAGCTTGAGCCTAACCAAGCTTCAAGGTTAAACGTGGAGAATTTCATCAACCTTGAATGTCCCCTATTTGAACATTGAAGCATTCTCTAGCATCTATTTCTTTCTTAACAGATACGCATTTTCACACTTTGACCAAGGGGGAAAGTGCACAATTTTCCTATTCAAACTGCAAATTTAGCCTTTCAAATGAACTGAAAACAGGTTGGGAGAAAGAAAGGAGTGGCATTTGAAGAGTTTCAGCAAGTTTGAACCGCCTTGTCTCTCCTTAAGTGAGCTGTCGGGACACCAGGCGACACTGCTCCCCCTCGTGGGTGGGGGCCTTTGCCTCTCCTGCCTTAGGGACGCCCCCCCCCCCACACACACACACACACACGGGCCTCCCCCCCATTTTTGCTTAGTTCTGCAATGCACCTGCCGATGTTCACCAATTTGGTCCAAATGGCAGCACTGGGGAAGAGATGCTAAACCTTGCTTTACGTGAGCTATTTTTCAAAACAACCTTTGGCCCACCCCAACCTTTTCTCCCTGCTTCTTTCTGCAAGCAGAGGAAGGAGAATAACGGAGAGAACTCTAAAGGCAAAATGGCAAGTCATGGAAAAGGTGCTTTGATGCATGTTTACACACCACTCTCAATCAACTGCAAAACTACCAAGTGCTACATTTTTCATTTCTGACCCACTAAGAATACCCAACCATCTGGCTTCATTAGGTGATCCCATGGACTGGTTGTTCTGGGGGCATGAGAAGAAGGAAATCTTCTCTACATCCACTTTTCTAAGCGATGAATCATTTTATGCACATGGGGTCTCTCTGACTTGCCTTTTTAAAAGCAAAACTTCCCCAACATTTATTTTTCCCTCTAAGAGAGAGTGTTTTTCCCACAAATATTTCTGCAGTCCTCGAAGAATGTCTAGGACTATGTTTGTTCCTGTTTTTGGGAATCCAAAATTTTGTCTCAGTTCCTATTTGCTAAATTAACAACCTCCCAAAGGTAAATTTTGGTGAAATCGATTTGACATTCTCCCAACATTTGTGGGAGAGAGATGCTAACCCCTCAAGGCACTCTCTAAATACTCTCTAAATAAATGCTGAGGAACACAGGGATGGACAGGAAATCTGATGAAACATCTGGTGAAGAAATGTAGTTAAGAAGGTGGAAATTATACATAATAAGCACGACATATTGGAATTATAAGCCACAAAACTGCTTTAGCAGAGATGGAAAAAATATGAAATTATATACCTTTTGGGCATAGATCAAACACTACCATGTTTGAATTGAACTGTGTCAGTAAAAGTTTCACATTGCCATGTTTAAAACATTGCAATTCTTAATAATGGATAAGACTTCAGCATTCATTCTGTAAAAATACCCCAATGGATTTGGTATTCTGAAAATAAAGCCTGTTAAAGTATTTTTAAAATATAAATTATATTACTGTTGTTGTTGAATATATTGCAGTTATACTTATCTCTTACCTTTTCCCAGAGAAGGGGAATCTAGGTGGCTAGAAATGGCCAGAAACTGGTCTTATATTATGAATTAATTCAATTACACAGACCTAGTTCACCCATTTTCATCATTTGATAGCTGTGGCATTCAACTGAAGACATACATGTCTAAATGTAGACCATCCCAGGAGGAAACTCCACAGCACTAAACGTTCGCCCAAGTTCACTTCATTGGGGACACCTTCAGCCACTTGTCATCAAGTGGAATCCAAGAAGTGCAATCAAATCAGGCATCAAAGATCGGCCTTATCTACATTCAACCATCAATACGCTAGTTGGCTCATTCTATTTCACACATTTTACCGTTAACTGTTAAAATGGCAGTGGTTTTCTGGTCTCCGCAGGTACAGGTGTAACGTCCACCATCCTCAATCTCTAAATCTCGGATCACCAATTCTGCAAGGGCCCCTTGCTGTCTTATTTGGTATTTGTTGCCTTCTGCGAGCTTCCGCTCATCTTTCTTCCACTCCACCCGAGCAGGCTTGCTGAGTTCGCAGCGCAGTGTAGCCGTCCCTTCCTCTGGGGCGTCCACGTCCTTCAGTTCCGTTCTGAACTGCGGTGGAAGTGCTGCAGAACACAAAATAAATGTATGAAGGTCCCATCGTGGGAGCAGAAGAGTGCGGCAGGAGGAAAATCAGGGTGGGGAAGGGCAAGGTCAATGGAAAGAGGAAAATACTCGGGGGAGTCGGTCCAGTGCCTGCTGATTCTTAACGGAAAGGCTTCCATTAATGGCACCAAGCACTGGAAAACCGCCTTGAAAGGGAGACAGGACGGCAGGAAGAGGAAAAGGTAGTCTCCAGATACACGCTCGCAAAACACTAGACACGGGCACCGCAACCTGAACACAGGCAACAGAAAGACGAACAATAACAATATGAACACAGAACACAGCAGTAGAAGACAGTCGTGAGTACCATTCTTCTTGGTAAAAAGCAGAGAATAAATGAAATAAATAAATAGTGACGCTGATGTTAGATGCTTCTCAGGTGCAGCAGGTGGTGGCGTTCAACGCTGACGGTAATAAAGCAAGGAAATAGTCATCCTGCGTCACCTACACGGGCTGATTTCACCATGGACCATGGAGGGGCTTGTTGATCTCGACAGGTGTGAGCATATTCTTCTCAAACGGGCCTCAGAGATCAGAGGGACCTTCCCACTTCAAGAAAGACTTGTCATTCGGATGCAGAACTTCCAGCAAACTATCGGTGCCTCACCCCGAGACCTCCTGGCCATGCATCTCTTGGTTGGAAAGTGCAGGCCGATCTGGACCACCTGATCCAGGGTTCAAATACAGAGTGACGTGTGTGCGCCTATCGTGAGATGGATGTGGATGTTTCTACAGGAGTCCATAATCAGCTTTTAATCCATTGCATCCACTTTCAGTTCATTGCAGATCCAAGCACTAGACTAAGGGCATTTCCTTTCCTGCTTTTTCACTACATAACGTCTGGGTGATTTCTTTCTTTTTCACAATCAAACATCACATTCCCCCCCCCCCCACACACACACACACACACAAACCTTATTGAAAGTGTTTGTTAGACACAGAAACAATACTGGGGGTTACAACCTTGTCCAAAAAATCCATAAATAACTGTGAGTAGGGAATCCTGTGCGTAGAAAAGCGGGTAGAGGAAAACATGGCACAAGGGAGCAACCTGAGGTCGCCTGTGAAGAAACCTCAAAGGGTTACTGGCTCACTGAACACTCCAGGGCATGGCACGTTGTATGTGGATTGTTCACCCTCTCCGTCAGTCCTCCAGCCAGCTCCACCATGTATCCCAGCATCCTCCACAGCAGAACTGGACGTGTTCCTTTCTGTTCACCATGTTGGTGGGTTTTGGAGCCCCAAGAAACTGCTTCCACTCTAACATTGCCCAACAACGAAAGATCAACATGGACTTGTAATACACATAAAGGGCTTGGAAAGGTACACAGATACGTTACAACCAGAAACATACACACACACATGTGAGATTTAATCAGCTGTAGAGGCCAGGGAAAGCAGAAAGACTCTGCTGGAGGAGGGAACACGAAGGAGAAAAAGGAGGATCAGATGACGTCAAGACAATGATGGAAGGGTCTTCCTTTCTGTGTGCAAGCACCAGGTCATCCAAGACTAAGAATCATACTCCAAGGAAAAGGAAGTGGAGAGAGGCGAGACAGATTCAGGAGAGGCAAAGAAAGCATGCGGAGAAGGGTTAACTGGAACGGTTACTCCAAGCCTGTATGAAAAGCCAGGATTTTCTCCAGTAGTGTTTACCATTGACTCTGAGGCTCGCAGTGCTCTGCTGGTCTCCACAGACACAGGTATATTCTCCCGCATCCTCCTCCTCCAAATTATGGACCACCAGCTCTGAAACGGTGCCTTCCTGTTTTACTGTGTATTTCACACTCGGTTTGAGAACGAGCGGACCCTTCTTCCAGTCAGTTTGTGCCACTTTGGTCAGCTGGCACCGGAGAATGGCAGCTTCACCTTCCGTGACTTCCTGGTCCCTCAGATCTTCCGTGAAACGGGCAGGTAAGACTGAAGGAGCAACATACAGAGGGACTATTAGCATTCACACAGATGACTGCACTGAGTCTCCAGAAAGGGGAAGAGATAACATAGAAAACCAGGCTCAAACAGGTTTACCTAACAGGAATACTTGCGCGATATTTTGCTCTTTGGAATGCTATACCAGGGAAGAACTCCAGTTTTGAAAATCTACACCAGAACCAATAAAGAACCATTTTAATTCCAGATGTAAGTTTGACTTTGGCTTCAAGCTCCTACAGAGCCCCAGTTCCGTTTAATTAGCTTTGGATTTGACTCAAAGTAAGAGGGACAACAAAGGGCATGGTGAGGGGCAGCAGAACTGGGACAAGATCTGGCTGGTCCTGTTCTATTTGTAGAGAAGATAATAAAAAAGAGGGAGTGGGGTAAGATCACTGGTGGCCGGCCCAGAAAAACATGGAAAATGGGGATTTCCAAGATGAGGACTGAAGCTCCTGTCCCAGTGGTGCTGCATGAATCTGTGAGGTCTGATATGGCACCAGGGACACTGGTTTAGGGTTTTGGTATTGTTGTAGTCTATTGTATCTTCTTTTTGGTTTGCTTTTAGAGATGGGGAGGGGGACTCTACAAGAACAATAACCATAGTAGAGCAAGGGTGGCCTGAAGGTCGACCCCCAGATATTTTGGCCTTCGATGGTCAGGAATGCTGAGAGTTGAAGCCCAAAACATCTGGAGATCTTCCTTCTACTCAACCCTGAGAAAGCACATGGATGTCCTACTGGCTTAGGACTTTTCTACTGTTAGAGATAACCACATCCTCCTTTCTAATCTGGAGGGAAGGCGAATTGATCATGACCCACCTGGGTCATGGAAGCCACAAATGACCCAGACAAGGAAGTCTGGGACACTCCTGGGATAGGAGGAGGCGAAATCAGGTTTACTTTTCCCTGCTATGCTGCCATCTGCTCCCTATCTCCAAAGTCTTGAGGCAAAGCACTGCACGGAACCTGGAGCTGCTCTGGACTTCAGTGCCACTGCCTCCTCGCTTGGATTAGAGTTGGCTGCAGCAGCAAGAGAAGAAGACTACAGGGACTACAATGGATTAAGATCGTGGCGGATGATTGTCAACACAAAGTTTACCCTTGACCGCCAAAGATGCGGTGGTTTGTTGCTCTCCACACACACAGGTATAGTTCCCCGTATCCTGAAGGTCCAGTTCATGGATCAGCAGCTCAGCACGGACACCGTCTTGCCTCATGGCATATTTCTGGCTTGGCTGGAGCACCCGGTGCTCTTTCCTCCATTCCACAGGGGCCATCTTGGTCAGCTCGCAGTGCAGGGTGGCCACACTGCCTTCTGGGGCTTCCACATCCTTCAGGTTGCACTTGAAACGTGCAGGCAAGGCTGTGGACCACAGAAGGAGAAAACCACATGGAGAAATGGCAAGGAACGGCTCCAGGTGACCGAGCTGAAGCATTTAGGCCAACAAGAAGGCTTTAGCGGCAGGAAGCTGGGAGTGCTTTCTGGCATTCATGGCTTCCTGTCCTCGCATTTTGCCTTCGGGACTACTGGAGCCAATGGGGAATTCCACAAGGCAGAGGATGCATCTTGTGAAAACACCACTGAAATGAAATGGAAATACACTGGGGTTTTGCTTTCATTTCCCAACAGCGATCATGCTAGGGAAAATTTAACAGGTCCTGCTCAACCATTCGTGACAACATTCCCAAACTGAACGACACACACAAATACAATGCCACTCAATCCAAGTACAGTTATGAGATAAATACTGAAATAGTTAAGTGACCATGTATTTCTTTACCCTGCACGGTCAAGGAGGTTGCAGCCTTCTGGTCCCCGCAGAGGCAGGTATATTGGGCCGCGTCTGTTGGGTCCACATCTCGGATCACCAGCGTTACAAGAGAGCCTTCCTGCCTCATTTTGTATTTCTCACTTTCCTGGAGCAAAGTCTGCCCCTTCATCCACTCCACGGGAGCGGCCTTGGTCAGTTTACAACGCAGAGTGGCTTCTCCGCCTTCCACAGCCTCCACGCTCTTTGAGGGCTCTTCGAAGAGGGCTGGCAGAACTGAGGGATGCAACATTGGAGGTGTTAAATGCGGACACTCGGCCAGGGCGCCCAGGGTGATGGACAGAACCCCGCTGGTGGGGGCTGCTTCCCAAATCCCGCAGAAGTCAGGAGATCGTCCATCCCCTGGCCAAGAGGGCAGGTTGACCTGAAAGCCAAGCTGGACCAGTCTGAGAACGGATGTCCAGTGTGAATGTGCAGGCTTAATGGGAGAAGTTTTAGAAGGATGGAGCAAGCTAGTATACACATAAATGCTGGCAGAGAGAGGCAGAGAGAGGAGAGAGAGATCAAAACCCCTGAAACATGCAAGATGGAAAGGACAAATGCAGGCATGTCACGGACAAAGCGCATAAGGAGAAGGAATGCTGGGAACGCTACAATTGTGTGCAAAAAATTGGTATTACCATGCACGGCCAGGGTTGCAGTGGTTTGCTGGTCACCACACACGCAGGTGTAACTGCCAGAGTCCTCCTCTTCCAGGTTACGGATGGCCAGTTCCACCGTTCTGTCCTTTTGCTTCATGACGTACTTTCCGCCCTGCGTCAGCGACTGGCTGCCCTTCTTCCACTGCACAGGAGCAGCTTTGCTGAGCTCACACCGCAGGGTGGCCGTCTCCCCTTCCGTGCCTTCTGTGGTTGCTAATCCTTCTTTGAAAATCACAGGGAGGGCTGGGAAACAAGGAAGGAGCGGACACTCTCAACACTCTTGTGCTGTCTGAAAAGGTGTGGAGTGAACAGAGCAGCATCGCTGCTGTTTAACCTGGGTCACGCCTGTGCTTTATTTGCCAGAGGCAAGGACACGACACAACAAAGATTTCACACACAAATATGAACCCGCAGCAGCCAGTCCTTGGGCTGTTTTACATCTAAACAAGCAGACAAGAAACCAAGCAAGGACACATGGCATCTTTCAGACTGTGGGACCCTTCAGAGAGGGGAATCAATTCACGATGCTCTAGAAGAGAGATTCCCAAAGCTTTTCTGCTTGGGAATCCTCTTTTGCATCATTCTGGCTGTTGCACCAAACCTGCGTGTGTGTTTGCAGAGATTTTGCCACGTGCTCTGGGGCTCACGCATATCACAACTGGCACTGACTGGGACTCTGGGGTTTTATGGCTGTCCCCAGATGACACAACAGTGTGGACCTTGCAGCTGAAGCTTCCACTGCAATGGGGGGGCGGGCGGGGTGGAGATGGAAAAGATATTTTTTGAGGAACGCTTCTCTTTCATCGTGGATCTTCTCATGGAAGGACTCTGACCCATCCTTTCCAGAGCTGTAGGTTCCCCTGAAACTCTCTGAGCAGCACTGCTCTAGAACGAGAGGGTATGTTGCAAGGAGACCGTGGGCATCCCAAAATGGGGACTCTGATGTCGACACGTGGAAAAGGAATACTGGGGTCTTCCAGACATGCAAGACAGGACATACTGATTTACCATGCACTGTCAGTGCTGCAGTAGTTTTCTCGTGGCCGCACACGCAGGAATACTCCCCAGCATCACTCAGCTCCAGGTCGAGGATGACAAGTTCAGAGACAGGACCGTCCTGCCTCATTCGGTATTTGTCACTCGGCTTGAGGGCTTTGTGCTTCTTCTTCCACTCCACAACGGCGGCTTTGGTCAGCTCGCAGCGGAGAGTAGCAGAGCCACCCTCGGAGGCCTCCCGGTTCTCCAGGCCTTTCTCGAAGCGTGCTGGAAGAGCTGAGGAGTCCAGAACGGACAGCGTATGTCAGTGCGAACATCTGGGCAATGCAAAACAGCTGGCGCACATGTCAAGAAACGGGGCCCGTGTGAGGGCCATATGCTGTGCTCCATGAACCGTTACCTCCCTTTGCGTAAACCTTCCGTACTGCAAAATTTTACCTCGCACAGCAAGAGGGGGGCAGATCTAAAGGTGTTTCTTCACAACTCCTTGCAAAATGGATCAACATACCAATAAAACTTGCATACTGTAGAATCAGGGTGACTTGTTGCATCGCTCGTGTTACTGGGCAGATGTCCACCTTGATAGACAAACTACTGAGGACCGGCAACCTATGCGCCACAGATATCTCAGTATGGCAGGCCCTTTGTTCTATGGAACATCACTTTGCTAAACACCTCTGTGTGCGCCTTTTCAGGTACTTCCACAAATTCTGCATCCTTGCAGAAATAGAAATCTAGTTTGTGAAGGTGTGGTTGCTACCCTGGGTGATGGATTGATAGAGATACTACTCCGCCTGTCCTGGCTGCCAACCTCTTTGGGCCACCTCTTTACACAGGAGAACGGCTGGGGACAGATGGGTAAGGAGACCATCCTCCCGCTTGCATGGGCATCCTATCTGACAAAGGGAAAGAAAGCCTTAAATGTACCATTCACTGCTAAGGACGCAGAGGTTTTCGCTTCCCCAAACGCGCAGCTGTAAGCGCCAGCGTCGGCCAGTTCCAGGCTGTGAATGACAAGTTCGGCAACAGGGCCTTCCTGCTTCATGTCATACTTGTCACTCGGCTTGAGAACCTGGTTGCCCTTCCTCCACGTCACGGGAGCTGCAACTCTGGTCAGCTCACAGCGCAGAGCAGCTCTTTCCCCTTCTGCAGCCTCCAGGTTCTTCAGCTCCACCTTGAATCGTGGAGGCAGGGCTAGAGAGCACAAAGAGCATGTTAGCAGCCGTGAGGTCATCCCAGCCAGAAGGCTCCAGGGAATTCCTCTTTGCCAGCCCCATTTTTAGAGCTGGACATATCTAACTTCCAAGTAGGGAACAACCTGAGAGGAAAGATGGGTGCACACATGCCTTGAAACTTAAGCGCACCATATTCATGAGAATATACAAACCTGCCAGCTGGTCCCCGGTTTGGGCTGGGGCCCAAGGTTTTGCTCCTTTGACTTTTCATCTATATATGACAAGAATTATCCCTCCACCTGGTATGGGAGGGATCCCTAAAATAGTTACGCCTCAAAGCTCTGGTTTAAGCATGCACAAGAGCGTTGTGTTTTCTACAAAGTTTCCCTGGTGTGATTTACATTTTCACTGCTCAAGATGCAATGGTGCAGAAGAGGTGATGGTGCAGACAAAAACTGGAAGAAATATACAGAGCGCCACAGCATTTTGTCCGAAAATATAGTCCCATGGCCAGGTCTTGACTAGGATTACGTTAACTTAGACATATCTGGCAACATCCTTTTGCAAACCAGAATACAACTCGCATCCAACAGGCTCACTGCAACTTCAGGATTTTAAACAACTAAAATTAAAATTAATTCTCCATACCACCCACCCTAACACAATTGCATCCTTTCTACATCATCTAGCCTGTAGACCCACCCCTTCTCTTCACAACGGTCTTCCCAAACTGAATGCCCTTCAGATGTGTGGGACTACAAGCCCCATTATTCCCAGACAATTCAGCCATGCTGACCCCATGGCAATGCTGCCATGAGAGACAAAACCATGGGATCTGGAAAAAAGAAATAGAAAAATTACGGCAGAGACCTGTTCTAGAACAGTGGGGTCCGTGGCAGGTGGCTGGAGAGTCAAGAGAGAAAGGGGAGGGGCTCTTCCGTAGCCCACTTTTATATACATATAATATTTACCATGCACTGTGAGGGACGCAGACGTCTTTTGATCGCCACAAACGCAAACGTAGTCTCCGGCATCCTGCTCAGTGACGTTCTGGATCGTTAGCTCGGCCACATTATCCTTTTGCTTAATCTTGTATTTCTCACTCGGCTGGAGTGCCGTTTGCCCCTTCTTCCATTCTACCTGAGCAACCTTGCTTAGGACACAGCGAAGGGTGGCTATTTCACCTTCCTTCACCTCTTTGCTTTTGAGTTCTTCTTGGAAACGTGCTGGCACAGCTGAGGGATACAACAGCGACAGACAACATGTCATGAGCCAGATATTCTAGTCCTCATGAGGGTCCCACCAAGCATAGCTCCTCTGGAAGCCTCATTCACTTCAAAGGGGGCTTTTGAGGGAGCTGTGCTGGACAGATTAGCACCTTCTGGCGTCCTTTCCCCAGTGACTGAGCAACACACAGAGCATTTTTAATGCTTTTGAAAGAGCGATGCTCATTGAAAATGCTGAACATCAAATCGTCAGGAGCTCTGAAATTTAAAATGTGAACATTTTAAATTTCAATGTCATCTTCATGTTTTGAACTTTACCATATAAATGCAACCCACACACCAAAACAATGGCCGTTGACTAACTTCCAGCTTTTACAAAATTGAAAAAAAGAAAAAGAAAGAAAAAAGAAAAGAAAAGAAGCCAAACATTTGCTAAAACAAGATCATTAATTATAGGCTATTTTGTTTCATCACATTTCCAAGCATGGCTCTTAAGAACAGACAAAAACAGACATATTTCTCAGCACAAGACATTTGTGACTCACAGTGAAGGACCCCACAAATATCTACGCAACATCGTGCAAACAACGTAAACAGAGCACCCAGAAACGGAAGTACAAGGATGGAGGAAATGCCTAGACAGCATCCCAGGAACCCTGGGACTGATGGGAAACACTCCCCTGGCCTCTGGCAGGGGTCCTCCTTCGGATTCATCTCCTGGGTCAAAGGGGTGTGTTTGTGGGGGTGCCCATTAGTGAAAGCGCATGGCTGTGACCGAAAGGACCCACAGCTTTCTCAACTCCACAGAAGGAAAGTTCAGCAAGCTTCGGGGCTCATCTAACCGAGGACCCATTTGGGTAGTGGGGAGGCAAATCATGGATCCATGCACTTCCGTCCTGCTGGCAAGAATCTGGTGAGGCTCCGGATGGGACGGGGTCTGCAAGATCAGCCCACTCCAACCCCCAGGCCCCTGCTCACAGGACGTGCTGCAAAATAACCGAAAAGGAAAAGTCCATCAGGTTTCTTCTCCCAGATGCATGAGCTCTCGGAAGCTCAGTGGGAAACATTCTCATAGCTGGATTTTTTTAATACTGCAAAGCACTGTTAACTGGAAAAAATGAGATTGGAGAAGGAATATTACAAGCACAGAGCATGAGGACAAATTTAAAGAGTGTAAGATGGATGAAGAAAGGGCCAAAGCGATGCGTCTTCTGCTGCCATGGACAGCCCAATGAGATTCCGAGTCATGGCAGTAAAGAGTGGGCCGTTGGTACAAAGTTCAGGCACAACTTTGATCGGCAGGACTCCTTGCAGTTTGCTTGGCAGAGTAGCATATGACCTTCGCAGTGCGACATTTTCCCCACTCTGTGGCACCTTGCATTTTTTCTCACCTTGTGTCATGCGAACCCAGGTAGGGCAACTCAGTGGCAAGCCCCAGCGAATACTCTGAGACTGTCTCGTTCGTTGAATAGCACCAGAATAGCCATCTAAGACCCCAGTGTAGGAAGTCAAAGCTGGAACCAGCTCTGAATGCAGGAAAAGATGGACCAAGTTTCTTAGCCAAAAGATGCGCCATCTGCCTTGAGTTCTTCAAGCTGTAAAAGCTTAGGGTGGCAGGTAGCTTGCTGGTATGTCCTGTAAGTCCACAGATCTGGATTAGCACCAGAGCAAGAGCCAGAAAGTGCAGGAGCGCAGCAAACGTTAAGTAGGTAAGAAAAACATGTTCAGCGTTCCATGGGAGCCATTGCAAGTATTCGGCATACAGAGATGTCCTCTGAGGCTGCCGACAGATGAAAAAGGCCCCAAAGTTTATGACCAGCACTTAAAGCTTCGGCGAATGGGGCGGCATAGAAATTTTCTAAATAAATAAATAAATGGAAAACATGGCGATAACCTTCAGGGTGAATTGTGGATGTTTTCATTGACAGGGTGAGATCACACAGCACCACAAGCCGTGGTGCTCTCTTGCACAGGGTGGGCTGTTGTGTCATCCAAACTAGTGTGTTATTTCACCTTTTGATTTTTTTTAGAAATCATGATTTAAAAAAAACGATGTTTCCATGCTTCACCATGATTTTCTCTGGTCATCGGAACCCAGCATTGTGGTTTCCATGGTCCCGGGATGCAGCCACCACAGAGTCCCCTGGAAAGAGCAGCAGCCGCAGGAACTGCTCCAGGCATCCAGTGCGGGGTCGGATTTCAGGCATGTTGGCTGATGGGATACATGCCAACAGAGGGAGGACGGAGTGAGGAGGGTGGAAACTATGCTTGTATAGAACCCCTTGGTCATTTGTCAGACACATCCAGGCAAAGAACCGTGTGCCATGGAACCAATGTAATTTGCTTTTGATGACATGTGAACCACGTTGAAAGCAAACATGGTATAATATAATTTACTCAGAGACAAACAAGCAGACAGCAGACCAAAAGAAACAAAGAACAAGAACAAGGCACTAAGACAACACAAAGCCAGGAATTTCCACAGAGATGGCAGATCCTGAAATATCCCTGATGGATGTAATACGGAATGTGCGGTTACCATGAACGGTCAAGACAGCGGTTGTCTTTTGGTCTCCACAAAGACAGACATAATCTCCCGTATCCTCCACCTGCAGATCACGAATCAAGAGTTCAGCTGCCGTGCCATCCTGCCTCATTCGGTACTTGTCACTCGGCTTGAGAATCTGGGGTCCCTTTTTCCATTTCACCTCAGCACCTGCTTTGGTCATTTCACAGCGCAGAGTAGCTGTAGAACCTTCCACAGCTTCCCTGTTCTTCAGTCCTTCTTTGAAAAGCACAGGCAGTGCTGAGGAGATGGCAAGAAGAGGAAAGAAGTTAAGGCGCGGAGGAAAAAGATGAAGTCCATTGAGCCTTCATCCCTTCAAGCTTCCACCAAAGTTTCAACAAAGTTTCCAAGAGGGCAAAAGGTTTTACCCAGTGGTCTCTCCCAAAATTAGTTTACTCTAGAAGAGATGGCAGTTGGCATGTGGACTCAGGAAGAGGTGTGGCTGTGGATGGATGGGGACATATCAGGGCACTCTCAGAGATACCTGAATTCTAAGCTACCCTCCCTCCATAAATAATATTTTAATGGCTCCTTTGAGATTACAAGCCAGGCAGTGTCCTGCCCCACAACAGGGAGAATGTATCCCAAAGAAACTTGGAGGACAAAACCTTTTTCATTATAATAGTTTTTGAAGGCACGGACTAAGGGACGATGGAGATGACACTTCCTATATTGCATTCTGATTGCATGGAATATATCATGTTAGAATCATTGCTACTGTCTTGGAAGTAAGGTAGGGTCTTACGGACTTGGTTAGCAATCCTTAAAATTAAGATGGGTTGGTTATACCTCGAGTGTGATCAACTGGGAGCATCCCATCTGAAGTGAATTTCAAAAACACCAATGACTCGGAGAGAATAGTCTGAAAACTGTCCAATTTATCACCTTGGTCCTCCCGGTGAAAAAGAAGCTACTAAAGAGTATGGAAGCCACACGTCAAAACATTCCTGCCCTCATTCAGAGATTGCTTCTTTTTGACTATGGTTTGAAGGCATGCGAGCCACCCAGCAAAGCTGAGAAAGGCCTGGGAGTTGACCCCAAACCACGGAGCAATCTGCAGAACTAACGAGTCTGTCTTTACCGTTGACTTCCAGAGACGCCACGGTCTGCTGGGTTCCACATACGCAGGTGTAGCTTCCGGAATCCGTGAGCTCCACACCTTGAACCACCAGCTCAGCGATGGAACCGTCTCGCCTCATTTTGTACTTCTTGCCTTCCTTCAAGGTTTTGTGGCCTTTCTTCCACTCTACGGCAGCTGAAGTTTTGTTCAGCTCACACCGCAGGGTGGCATCTTTACCTTCTGTAACTTCTTCGTCCTTCAGGTCCTTGGTGAAAAGCGCGGGCAGAACTGCAGAGCGAAGGTAACATGGGACATGAATCACCCAAACCTAAGATCGCCAAGGTCACGAGCGTCCGCTCTGCCAAGATATGCCTTCAATCGCCTGACAGCTCTCTTCCCCTGTAAAGGGGGCTTCCATTTTTCTACCTCATTCTCAGGGCACTTCAGACTATTCTGGGATAGTTTTTTGAGTGTACTGTGTCATTGCAACTCATGGAAGTGGAGAGGGAGTGTATTATTTGGTTCTTCACCCCCAGAAGAAGTCTACTTCGCAGGGTACTGTTCAATGGGGTGGTAACTGGGTTTTCAGGCCATATGGACCCATAGTCTATTCTGCACTTTCTGAGGGAGGGAGTTAAGGAAATAAGAAGCTCAGAACTGTCACTTGGCTCAGCGAGGGTCTGGATGCTCTCACCATCATCTTCTTTTCATCATCTTATATCCTGCTCACTAAAGCATCCAGAGTGACATACAGCATAATCTTAGTTGCCTTTTCAGATCTGACACACAAATAATCCGGACTGGGAAAAAGTAAGAAGTTCCATTCCCCCTCTCCCAGCAACCCTCTGGGTCTCACCAAACCAATACTAGGTGAAAATTTTAAGACTCTTTTACTCAGGAAATAAAAATATTTAAAAGTCTGATGGAAAAAACAGTTATAAGCCTGTTACTTTCTGGCTAACCTTGTAGGAAACATATATTCACTTGAGAGGATCTTTTTTCCGAAATAGAGAAGAAAGTCCTGGGATCTACACCATTATTTTTAAGAGGGGGAGGGAAGGAAAATAAAGCATGCAGGGATCAGTAGAGGTAAGAGAGAATGGAGTTTTGAGGACTGGGGTGGGGTCTGCAAAAGGAGGCCCTAAGAACATATAACTCTTAGGAGAAAGTATTGTAACTATCCTCTTGCTGTTTTACCATTCACTTTCAAGCTGGCTGTAGTCTTCTGGCCTCCACATGCACATGTGTAGTCCCCAGAATCTGCCGCATCCAAGTTACGGATGACCAGCTCAGCACACGGCCCGTCCTGCCTTATCTGGCATTTGTCACCTGGCTGAAGCGCCCGTGGCCCCTTCCACCACTCCACCGGGGCCGCCTTGCTCAGCCTGCAGTGCAGCGTGGTCGTCTCCCCCTCTGTGGCTTCCTTGCTTTTTAGCTCTTCTTGGAAAAAGACGGGCAGTGCTGAAGAATGCAATGTGAACAAAGAGAAACGGTCAAACCATTGGTGGACTTAGGCAGGGGTGCAGGTCTGATAGACTACGATCCCACAGGAACGTTCCATGTTACCAGGAAACACATAGCAACAACACTCGAGAAGGGAGGAAAAACTCAGACAAGAATTAGTTACGTCTGAATTATCCTAGAGTGAGGAATCTCTTCGGCGACCAACCCATTGATGAAAAAGCTTGCTGCGCAATAAAACGAAGCAGAACCTTGGGGGAATTTTGCAGTTCTGCAAATGGCACAGGTGTGCCCATCAAGATGTGTGGGAGCTATAGGGAAGAAGAAAAAGAGTAAAGAAAAAAAGGAAAAGAAACTGGCTCCAGATCCATAAAGACATGCATCAAAAGCATTTAAAGAGCTCAGCTGAGCTAGTGTCTTAACAGGCTTTGACTCTGGACGTAAATGTTATTACCATTCACTTTCAACGCCGCAGCGGTCTTCTGATCACCACACACACAGGTGTATGTCCCGGCGTCTGTCAGTTCCAGATCTTGGATCGTTAGCTCGGCAAAGCGGCCTTCGAGCCTCATCCTGTACTTATCACTTGGGTTCAGCACCTTTTGATCCTTCGCCCACTCGACTGAGTCAACGGCCTTGGTCAGCTCACAGTGCAGGGTGGCCGTCCCACTCTCTGTCGCTTCCTCATTCTTGAGTTTGGTTTTGAATTGCACTGCCACAGCTGGGGGACGCAGAATGGAGACATGACATCAGCAGGTACCGGCTGCAAGGACCCCCTATCTTGCTCTGAAATGCCCAGTTTCCTGCTCAATCGTGAAGAAGTTTCCCTGTAAAACACTTGTTGGAAAGCCTGCCAGTTCCCAGTTTTGGAAGAGGAATACCAAAATAAACTGCACTCCAGAAACATTAAAGGAAGACTGAGCAACAGATCATTGGAATAGCCCCCGACAAATGCAACTGTCAACCTTTTCTAAATGGGGATAATAAGGACTACCGTATATCCTCTGTGTTGGGGACCCCATATCAAGTCATTTGCAAGAACTTTCCAAATCACACCAGCATGCAACCACGACATCTTGCATCCTGTGAAACTGGAGAAGAGTAGAACACAGAACGTCATGCCAGCCAGATAGGGGTAGGCCAGAGAGCAAAGCAAAAGTGAAGCAGAAAGCGGAGATTTGTAAGGGTAGATCAAAAAGATCCACTCCGGAAGAGTGTAAGGTTGCCTTTTTACCATTCACTGTGAGGACGGCGGTTGTCTTCTGGTCTCCAGAGGTGCATGTGTAATCTCCAGCATCCTTCAGGTCCAGATCGTGAATTGTAAGCTCAGCCACAGTCCCTTCCTTCTTCATTCGGTACTTGCTGCTTGGCCTCAAGCCCTTCTGCCCCTTCATCCACTCCACCGGGGCAGGCTTGTTCAGCTCACAGTGGAGGGTCACTAGGCCACCCTGAGTGGCTTCCGTGTTCTTCAGCACTTCTTTGAATTGAACAGGTGCAGCTGAAGGATGGAGGAGGGTGTTGGTTTGGGGCTTTTGACCTGAAGATCACTTACCAGCCTTAGCAAAAGACTCCGTTACACACACGAGACCCACCTGTGGTAGCTGAAGCTCTGTCTGCCCCCCAGAGCGATGCTGAACCTCCTTCACTCCTGCAGCTCCCCACCTATACCTCCCCCCTGGTGATTTTCATTCCCCGCTCCCCTCTGGGCCCCCATCCCTCCCCTTCTCTTCCCAACCACTCCATGGTCAGGGCCTCCTTCGCCTTCCTAGCCTATCCCCAGATGCAGCACTCGGAGCAAAGAGTTTTGTGCACCCTAAGCCTTCCTCTTGCTGTGCTCTCAAGGTCTGGGCCATTCAGCCACGGGATCGGGAGAGGGTCCCCTTCCCAGGAGAGCAGGCAGGCGGGCGGGCGATGAGGCTTCACAGCCGCCTTCCCAAAATCGCTTTGATGAAATTGAGACAGAGATTTGCTTTGCAAATGAGCTACTGGCGGGAAGAGTGGCGACCCCATGATGTTACAGCAGCTCCCCCGACCCAGCGCCCTCCAGGTGGGTTACCCTGCATCCCCCCTCATACTCAGCCAGGCTGGCTACCGGGAACTATGGGAGTTGAAGTCCGGCAAATAGCCAGTTGCCAGTGGCTACCTGAAAGTAAACAGGCAAGGATACAGAAATCGGAGAAGAAGAAAAATGCAATCATCTGCCTAAACTATTATTTTATACCACATCTTTGCTGCTTAGCGTCATCAAGCCAGCACTGGAAGGCGACGCATGCAAAAGAGGAGGAGGAATCAGGCTACGGGAAGAACAGACCCCCGTTCGGCATACCGTGGATTTTGACCTGAGCGGTGCTCTGCTGATCTTCCACGCTGCAGAGGTATCTCCCAGAATCCCCTGGCTCCGCATTGTGAATGAGCAGCTCGGCCACACACCCCTTCTGCTTCATCTCGTACTTCTCACTAGCGCGAAGGACAGCTGCTCCCTTCTTCCACGCCACGGGAACATCAGACGCCGCAAGCACACAGGATAAAGCCACCGTGCCCCCCTCTTCTTTTTCCATATCCTTGAGCTCTTCCTTAAAAAGGGTTGGTGCGGCTAAAATGTATAACCAGGAAAATAGATGCTATAGGGCGAAACTGCAGCCAGTGGCACGGAACGGCACGCAAAGATGGCCCCGTAAGTAGGAACAGGTTGGAGAACACCCCAGTGCCTGTTTCGGGCAGTGGGACAATCTCTACAGCCTAGTTATTTATATTATTATTATTATTATTATTATTATTATTATTATTATTATTATTATTAACATTTCTATGCCGCCCCTTGCCGAAACCAAGGCTTAGTTCTCCCTGCATGTAGAAAGCTAGCATGTTAGGAAGAAAGCCAGGCTGTGGTCCAGGGGTAGGAAAATTGTGGTGCTCCAGATGCTTCACCCCCACAACACCAATCAGCCGTAGCCACTTCTGCCACTGTCTCTCTCTCTATTAGTTTGGGACTGCAGGTGGCGCAGTGGTTTAAACCGCTGCGCTGCTGGGCTGGTAGATCGAAAGGTCGCCGGTTCGAATCTGCACAGCGGGGTGAGCTCCCGTTCCTCCGTCCCAGCTCCTGCCAACCTTGCAGCTCGAAAGCATGCAAATGCAAGTAGGTAAAAAGGTACCACTTTGGTGGGCAGGTAACAGTATTCTGTGCACTTCGGTGTTTAGCCATGCCGGCCACATGAGCACGGAGACCGTCTGCGGACAAACGCTGGCTCCCTTGGCCAGGAAACAGAGACGAGCACCGCCCCCGAGAGTCAGGCACGACTGGACGTAACGTCAAGGGGAAACCTTGACCTTTACAGTTTAGCATCCTGCAGCACACCGAGGAGAATTCAGTCCTGTGGTCTGAAGTTCTACAGCCTGATCCACCACAAGAAGAACTAGGCTGAAGCCTGTGTCTTACTTGGGGGAATTTCAAGAAGATCTCAGAATGAGAGCTGCCAATTTAGGAAGACCCAAATGCCTCAGGTGTGGGGACCAACGGACTGAAGGATCTCTCCATGCAGGCTGAAGAAATGTCAAAGATTGAAAGATGGCCTTCCAAGCAGTGGCAGTAAGGCACAACAGGCTCAGATGTGGAGACCCCCATGCAGCCATATCACGGGATGGAACACAAGCAGCTTAGGTGTCCGTGTTGCGTGCATCCCATGTACGGTTGCCAAGGAACCAGATCCGCACACCTATTTTTACACAGAGGGGCTATGAAAGCAGGGCAAGCAGAATCAAGCATTGCGGAACGAGTGACCCTCCGTACCCGTCACTTCTACTCGAGCAGAGGTCTTTAGCTCGCCGGTGCTGCAGGTATATTCCCCTGCGTCGGCGGCTTTGGCATCCCGGATAATAAGCTCCGCCACGGTGCCACGTTGCTTGAACTCATACTTGTCGCCCGCTTGCAGAACTTGGTTCCCCTTCATCCACTGCACCGGCAGGTCTGGCTTGTTGAGCTCACAGGTCAGCCGAACCTTGCTCCCCATCTTGGCTTCCCTGTTCTGCAGTTCTTGTTGGAAAAGCACTGGCAGAGCTGAAGTGCAGAATTAGAGGTGAACATGAGGCGGGAGGAAAGAGCAGGAAAGGCAGGGTTTTTTGGGCATCCCCATAAGCTTCTGCCGGTAGGAAACGGAAGCAAAATACTCAAGACCCAAAGACTGAAATGCAAACACGCAGCTATTCTAGGTTGGCAGGTAGAGTTGTCGGCATGGAAAAGAAGCAAAGCAACCTGCTGGCATCATGACTTTTAGGGCGCCTCTGCATGGGGCATTTAATTTGTGGGAGCTTTATATGACATCCTCCTCCCGTCCCTCTCCCCAGGGCATTTTTGTGGCTTTTTTTTTTTTTTTTTGGACCAGTCAGGTATTATTTCCTAATCTCCCGTATTCCAACAATTCCACTCTAATGTTATTCCACTATAATATAACCACTGTAATATTGTGGTTGTCTAGTGGAATGTATAGAAAGGCAGAGTAAGAAAAACCCTATAAAAAGTAATGTGTAACGAAAATGGAAAAAGGAGGCATATTAAAAGCAGCAGGCAGAAAAGCCCTTAAAGGAAAGATGCTCATCGGAACTGCGAGATGTAAAATTTCCTTCTATAGATTCATAGAAACATAGAAACAGAGTGAGTCAGAAGGGGCCTCCCGGGCGATCTAGTCTGACCCCCGGCTCCAGCCAGCTCCGCTCATGACATGCCCACCATGCGCATGTCCAGCCTAATCTTGAACACCTCACCAATGGGGCCTCAACAACCTCTCGTGGAAGCCCATTCCATAACCTGGGGGTCCTAACCGTCAGGAAGGACTTTCTGGCATCCAAATTGAACCTTGGTTCCCTGAGCTTGGCTCCATTGGAGAGCGTCCTGCCCTGCTCTTCAAGGGAGAACAGCTCTCCTGAGGGACACCCCCTCACGTACCTATATGTCACCAACAGATCCTCTTGGAGTCTCCTCTTCTCCAGGCTGAAGAGACCCAGTTCCCTCAGTCTCGCCTCATATGGCATCCCCTGCAAACTGGCCACCAACCTTGTGGCCCTACGCTGCACTGACTCCAACCTGGCTATATCCTTTCTGTAATGAGGGGCCCAAAACTGAACACAATACTCCAGTTGCGGGCGCACTAGAGTCGTGTAGAGTGGTAGTAATACCTCTCTTGATCTGGAAGCCACATTTCTGGCTATGCAACCACAGGTGGCGTTCGCCCTCCTGACCACCGCATCACACGGCTGACTCATGTTTAGCCTGCAGTTGACCAGCACCCCGAGGTCCCTTTCACAAGTGCTGCTCTCCAGCCACTTGTCACCTAACCTGTACTTATGACACCCATTCCCATGCTCCAAGTGCAAGACCTTGCACTTATCCACATTTTATTTATTTATTTAGTGAACTTCTATGCCTCCCCATTCACCGAAGCCTCGGGGCAGCTTACAACAGTAAATAAATATATATTGAACATATAAAAACAATACAATTGGAGATGTCCTGGCCGAAGATATAAAATCAATAAATAAAGCTAACAATTAAAATGATGTTTAAATAAAAAGGTCTTGGCCTGGCGCCGAAGAACAAATAACGACGGCGCCAGGTGGACCTCTCTGGGGAGCGCATTCCATCGATTGGGCGCCATCGCAGAGAAGGCCCTCCTCCGGGTACTCTGTCTCCTTATATCTTTCACGGAGGGTTCCCGGAGGAGGGCCTTTCCCGCTGATCTCAAGGGGCAGGCGGGCATATATGGACGCAAGCGCTCCTTTAGGTAACCAGGACCCAAGCCGTTAAGGGCTTTATAGGTAATAACCAACACACTGAACGCCATCCTGTTGTCTCCCGCCCACTTCCATAGTCTGTCCAGATCCTTTTGGATCTGGAGTACCTGCTCCTCAGTTGTGGCCACTGCTCCAGTTTTAGTGTCGTCTGCGAATTTGATCAGCAGACTGTTCACCCCTTCTTCCATGTCGTTAATGAAAAGATGATAGAGGATTGGCCTCAGAACAGAGCCCTGGGGGACCCCGCTTGTCACTGGCCGCCATCCCGACGATTCCCCACTAATGGTTACCCTCTGCTTTTGGTCAGTCAACCATTCAGATATCTGCTAAAGGGCAAAATTTGTAATTTTTCCTATATGCATGTAACGGACAATGCCTTCAAATAATTAAACTGACTTCCACAAATCAAGAAAACAAATGGGTAAGATGCAAAGTATAAACAGCTAAAGCACCTGCCTAGACTTTTATGAAATAAGGGGCAGAGGGACTTTGTGACCACAGGCAATAGGAAATACATAACTAAAAACTTCCAGTGACTCTTCACACTAAGTTTGCTTTGAAGATGGTGGGCTGCAGTCACACCCAGAGTAGCAGGAGAAGGAAGCAGTTCCTACAACACACGCCTCTCGTTTTGTAAAAAAATAAGATTTCCAGATTAGCAGTTTCATCTTGTAATTCCAGTTCCTTTCCAGCAGAATGTTCGGAAGGACAAGCATACAGCAATACTTACGCAATCTCTTAGAACGTCTCTCTCACAATACACACCATCCCAATCTATGGATCAACTGTAGGAGTCACATATTCTGGTTGTCACAATCTTGCCTTGTGTAACTGCACTAAGGCAAAAAATGCGCCATTGAACGGAGCTTGCACAGGAGTAAGTCGGCAGAGAGGTGAGGAGAAAGAGAAACCACTTCTCGACAAACTTTAATTTTTTGCCCCCATTATCACTACCAGGTGTTTGAAGCTGCTGCAACCATTTCAGAGGGTTTGGTCTAGTTTGGAATCCTGAACTGAGCAGGGTGGGATCCTATGATCCCACTGGGCCTCTTCCAACTCTACTATTCTATGAACCCAAAGTAACCAAAACTGCTTAAACGATGATATAGAAATTGATCTTGACTAGATGTCTGCAGTAGGATGAGGTGAACAACCTCTTCTTTCGCCTCTGGAGGCAACATCCCATGATAAGCTATAAACCACACGGATTCTTCAGAGGCTTTTGGGGCCATCAGAAATATTCCTCAAGGATCTGGTTAAGCTGAAGAATACACCGTGTGGGCAGCATGCCCAAGAAAGCAAATTTCTTTTAAGTAGCTCCACCAGGATCTTGTTCATATCTGGAAGGCTCTTCCTTCAAAGGCGAATATTCAGCTAATTTCCTATTTTGATATATGGTTTGAAGTTGCCAGATGAAGTTAAACAGTCACCAAAATCAAGTGCCATAATCTGAACAGTAAATTACATTAGTACTGGCACTGGAGTACCATCCAAAACACCCGCCTCTTCCCCCTTTCTTTTCACTGTAATGGCGATAACACTGCACACCTTCTTGGTCTCCCATCTTCCAGATCTCATTTTCCATCTTGTATATGTCAAATGTGGCTTCCATCCCAGACTGGGTATCCCTGCCATTAAAGACGGGATTCTTAAGGATCATTCAGGACACACTGGTGATGCTCAGGCGGCTGAAGAATACACTTTCCAGGACCTTGACAGGTCTGAGGTGACACAGACATTGCTCTGGCCAGATGCAGAAAGTCAGTTACCCCCTAAATCCCAATAGAAGTCCATTTATTGACCATAAAGAAGAAGTTCCTTGGATTGGAGCTTTGAGCTTTGATGCTTCTAGGCGTGGGGAAGCAGACAGCTGTGGATAGTTCATGTGATGCAAGTCTGCTTGCTTGTGTGGTCCAAATGCCTTCTTTGAGTCAAAGCCCATCAAAAGTCCCAGGAGAAAACAGCTGGAGCTACAGATGAGAAGCAACCCCTTGAGACCCACAGGAGAAGCTGGCAGGGGGATTAAGGCAAGGAAGAGGATGACGCTGGCTAGCTCCAACTGGGTGCACTTGTGGGAACTACCATGATAACAGGAGGGTGTTGTCTCAGCAGACAGCCAAAGCCAACCAACAGCTTATGCAGACTCAGAAGACCTGCGGTGTGGTCAGCTGTGCTCATCCTGGAGGAGCTGACCAGATGGATGAAGGGTCCTTGCTCAGTTTGTAGCCTGAGACTTTTGCAAAGCTGGAGAGATGGTGGGTCTCCTAAGGATTCATCCTCTGAGCCAGCAAAAGATGGTGGGGCTGTGCCTCAGGTTAGGAGTGTGATCTTGTCCTAATTCAGAGGGGAATTAGCCAGACACCAATTCTGAGTCAGAGGAGGAAAGTGTAGAGCAAGGACCAACTACTGGAAGCCAGATGCCCAAGAATTTGGTTCTGCCGGGCTCCCCACTGGCATACAAGCCAGGGAGTGGTGAGATTTGGAGGCTGACACAGCAGGGGGACGAGACCTAGATGGATCCCCCTCCTCCTTTTTCAGGAACATCTTCCTTGGAAATCGAGCAGCAAGGGAAGGACTCTGCTGGAGAGGGGGCTTCTAGCTGTGAGGCCCAAGATGAGTTGCCAACTAAAGGGAGTGGAACTGAGATTTCCACCCATTTGTGAGTGAGGATCCTCTGCCGGGATCGAACAGGGAGCTCCGCCAGCTGCTCCCCTGAATTTAGGGTGAGGGAACGGGCAACAGAGTTGGATGGAGGAAACATCTTCATAACCTTCTTGGTTTTGCTTGACCTGTGAACTTCTTTGGAGTTGTCCCATGTGCAGAGCCCAGAACCGAATTGGGCTTTTGCTGAGATGCTCATAAACCAGTCCTGGTCAAGGTACTGCCTTATCACGTGTTTTCTGAGGATCTTTGCAGGGGCCACAAAGGCTGACAGATAATGACTAGAATCACTGCCAAAATTGCCTTACTGAGGCTTGTGCTTTTCCCTTGAGAAGTCAGGTTTGGCAGGTTTTGCCCTGAATATGACATCAACTGTGCTACCCCAGAGGAAGTCACCTGTGCCTTGTCCTCCTCCAAATCTCCGGCAGCGCACTGGAGGACTGGGGACCACGACAGCCCCCAGCGAGACACTGCCTTGTCCAGAAGCGGTGGACTTCCAGGCTTGCCTTCATCCAGTTTGCCCTCTCTTGCATCCTTCACAAAACCATCTGATCAGGAAACTAGAGATGAACAAGCGCTTGGACTGAGCAGTGCTTTACCTCTGACAGCAACCCCCTCCTCCTTGAAAATATTTAAACCTTAAAACTACATATACATTTCCCAGGCAGTTTGTTACTGGCCTGAAAAAACAGAATACAACAAAGAAAAAAGAGAGCATCAAAAAAATCAGGTTCTAGTCCTGTGCAAGAGACGTTCTTGCAGCACGCCTTTGCACCTGAGTGCGGGGAAACACAAAACTATAGTCTAGAGGAAGAGATGTCAATACGTTTCCACACTTGTGGATAAAGGAGCAGATGTAAAGATTATATGTCACAATAAATATAGTGTATTACTATGCATATGACAATGCGGATCTCCCAAGTAGACAACTTGTTTAATTAGAAAAGACTTAGCTATAATTGATGGTGCCATGCACTGCTTGATATACCAATTCCATCTTACAACCAAGAAAAGATGCTGCATTCGTGGAAAAGCCACTCCCGTATTCTAATCTTCTTATGTACTTATTTGGGAAGATCTAAATATATGTTTATTTAATAAAAGTGGATGTGTCAAGCACCTCCAGAACCCAGGGTGCACTAGTCAGTCTGGCGGCCCCTTTTTGCACCAAACAAAATTTCTGCGGCAGCCTCACACAAAGCAATTGCAATTGTTGACTCGGGGTGTGACTGCAGGCCTGATGGAACCACACTCGTCGACTAACCTTCCTTGGCGTGTTGGAAACAAACCGCACGACAACCATACCTTGCACAACTAGCTTGGCACTCGACTGGGTGTCACCGATGTCGCAGGTGTAGATGTCGCTGTCGGTCTCCTTCAAGTCGTTCACCGTGAGCTGCAGGACGTTCCCCTTCTGGCTCATCTCGTATTTCTGGCTCGCCTTGAGGTCGGCAATTCCTTTCCTCCAGGTCACGGTGGACGCGGGTTTCTTGGTTTCACAGGTGAGCACTGCCTTTTTGTTTTCATCGGCCTTCAGGTCCAAAAGATCTTTGATGAAGCAATTCCCTGCTTCTGAAAGAAATGGACATAACGGGAACGTCAATACTCCCATCCAACAGAGCAAGAGATGCATGAATGCTGGTTACCGGTTTTTATTTATTTATTATTTATTAAAACATTTTTATGCCGCCCCATTCGCCAAAGCCTCGGGGCGGCTTACAACAATAATCGGTTCACGGGTAGGCATCACTTGCCGTTGCATCCAGCGCCTCCGTGTGGTCCCTTTCTGTGTTCCCGGGCGTCCTGGCTAAGGCCGGGCCCCAGGAGAAGCAGCCAGGCCACCCAGCACCCCAGAAACTGCAGCCGGCAAATCAAGGGAGGCCCAGGAAACAAGAGCTCAGACTGGCAAATGCTGCAGCCGCCTTGACGGGCACTCTGCAGGAGCTGCCTTGGGAACGGAGTGGTTGTTCCAGCGAGGTCCTCGCATCCACTGAGCATCACCTTAAAGGGTCAGCCTTTTTGTTCGGCCTGAATTTCCTATGCAGCTGCGAGACCCAAGAGCCACTTTTGAAGGCTAGGACTCCATGCGCCTGCTTGGAAAGGAGCAGTGGGGCCAGGCGATGACGACACCACAAGGCACAGCTCATTAGCCGCGGCTCGTCGGAGCTTTCGCATGGCTGGTCGGTGCGCTGCCAAGGATATATATACACATTTGCTTGGACTGGCTGTGAGTTGCTTTTTCTAAACGGAAACCTCAGTTTTCTGATTTGATTGCAGTGTTGGCACTTTGTGATCAAGAAGTGGGTTTCGGGTTGCAGTTTGGGCACTCGGTCTCTACAAGGTCCGCCATCACTGAGCTAGGATGTAGGGCTAAGCTGCCACAATACTAACCTGCCCGCCACGGACCTCTTTCGCCCTGCAGGCGGCCTACCTTCCACGGTAAGGGTCGCTTTTGTCCTGGAGGCTTCTGTCTCGCATGTGTATTCACCGCTGTCTTTGACCGTTGCATCGTGGATGATCAATATGGCCCGGGTCCCTTCCTGGCGAAGGTCATACTTCTGGCTCCTCCGAATCGCTTTGCCGTCCTTGCACCACCGAATGCTGCCGTCCCACCTGGACAGGTCACAAGTCAGGCTCACCTCCTGCCCCACGGACGTCGTCTTGTCCTGCAGCGGCTGTGTAAATTCAGCTGGCTTTTCTGGGGGAGAGGAAGCAAAAGCGCCACTCTATCATTGCCAAAAAGAAATTGTGCCCGGAGAGTAAAGATCTAGTCATTTAAAAGGTCTGTCTTTGTAATTTGCCGGGAAACAGGAAAAGGTGAGCTGCCAAGAGGGACGAATAAAGGAAGACTTTCGCTTGTAGATTGGAGGAAGCTGTTTCTGAACGAGACACTCCTCCCAAACACACACTCGCCGCCGCTCTCTGAGACATACCTTTCACGACCAGAGAAGCTTTGGAGATTAAGTCGTGGATGGAGAAAACAACTTCCCCAGCATCAGAACCCAGGGCTTTTTTGATGGTGAGTGTGTATTTCCTCCCTTTCCGGAGAGCGCGAAACCTCCCATCCCGGCCCACTTCATTTCCATTGATCAGCCAGTGACAATCGTCAGCACTTTCGTGGGAGAGAACGCATTCGAAGCTGCAGCTCTCCCCTTCCACAACTTCTGAGTTCTTCAGGCGTTTCGTGATGCCGATGTTCAGCTCTGGGAATGGAGGGGGAAAGAAGGCGGACAAAACAATTAGGGAAGAAACGTTGTAATTCACTAAAACAATGGGGAGAAAACAGCCTGCCCCAACTTGGTGCTCTCCAGATGCGATTGATTGATTGATTAGATTTTTAGGCTCCCATTAGTCACACAGCTCTCTGGGCAGGTTACAAATGATAAAGCCATATAAAAACTACGAAACATTAAAAACACAATGTTAAGCACTAAATCAAATAATAGAAGTGCACCCTTTTTGCATCTTAACTTAACAGAACTTAGGTTTACATAAAAGGCGTAACCACAGTCTGTATTAAAATATGCCACCATTAAAATAAAGAAACAAACAAAAAAACAATTAAAATGCTGGCAAAATAAAAAGGTCTTTGCTAGGTGCCAAAAAGAATATAAAGCGGGTGCCAGGTGAACCTCTCTGGGGAGCTCATTCCAAAGTTGGGGTGCCACTCCCCAAAAGGCCCTTCTTCTTGTAGCCACCCTCCTTATTTCCTGAGGCGGGAGACAGGATGTGTTAATAGGAATAGCACTACAGTTCCTATTATCCCCAGCCAACCCAATCTTTCCCTGCCAGAGAGACATGCTTGGTATGTCTTTCCAAACTGGGTGTGGGAATCCATAATTAGTTATATAAAAAGTCCAGGTTTTCTGCTATTTCACAATCCTAGGGAGGAAGAGAGAAGACAAGGGGAAAGACGGTATGGATTTTAAAGTCCAGAGAGGCTTTTCGCTGTGCTGTGTGCTGGTCTGGGCCTCTCCTTGAGGAATTCTGTGGTCTGGACTGTGTGGTTTGATGAGGGATGGGCACCAACGGGCACCACTCTTGGTATTTGGCAACCTCTTTCCTCCCCAGATCTTTATTTTATTCCTTAAGAGTCTTCAGTTAATTGCCCTTTAATTGAGAATCTGGCGTTTCGTAAAACAAAGCACTGTGCCATAGTTCCCTGGGTTCAGAAGACTGTTTGTTTCACAGCTTCATCTCTGACTTCCGCTCACACTTACTGGGGGGCGTTTATTCTTGGCAGTTTACCTTTTGGAAAATCCCTCGTTGGGGTTGGCCCTGCCCACCACGGCAGCCATTTTGTGAGAGCGCCCGCGACACTCCACATTCCAACTGTGCCCAGAGATCCAAACGGTCTGGAGGTGCCTGGCGCCCACGCTGCCCCCTCACTCCCCCGTTCCACAGTGCAGCGCCCCTACCTTGAACACTGACTTTAGATTTGGCGACCTCCGTGCCAAGGTCACACGTATACAAGCCAGCATCGTCCTTGAGGAGGTCATGGATGACGAGCTGCAGGGTCTTCTCGGCCTGCAGCATCTCATACTTGTCTCCTGGGGCGAGCGCCACACCCTCCTTTTTCCAGACGGGTTTGACCTTCGGCTTGGAGACCTCGCACTGCAGTGTGACTGAGCCCCGCTCCTCTCCGACCACATCATCCAAGGCCTTCATGAAGACGGCAGGTTTCTCTGAGGAAAGAAAGGACATGCTTAAATCCAACCTTCTGAAACAGTTTGGCCCTACAGTGGTTGTCCTGGGTGTGCACCATCAAGCCCTCTCCGACATACCGAGCAGACCCCTCATTTTGCCTTAAAAACAAGCTGTTGCTCTTGCATGATTACAAATTGTCCTCTGGTCCCACCGACGAACTGATACTAAGACAGGCTCTGGACTGTGCAGAAATGGACAGATTGATTTTATCACTGAAGGAGAAAGAAGATACTGACTGCTATCAAACTTGGGAACTTTTTTATTATTGGCTGGAGAAATGGGACTTGGCTTAGATTTAAAGATGTCTTTAAGATGTTATAAATTGGTTCAAAATAGAGCTGCCAGGTTGCTGACGGGGACGGGGCGTTATGTTCACATGACTCCAGTCCTCCGACAGCTTCACTGGCTCCCCATTGAAGTCCGGGCCCAATTCAAGGTGTTGGTGATGACCTATAAAGCCCTAAACAGCTTGGGTCCTGGTTACCTGAAGGAGCGCTTGCATCCATATA